TTCAAACTACATGAACGTATTTTTGCATTATAAAGTATTCTATTTAAGTAGTTCCAAACATGTAATTTCTTATTTCCTTCCCCCCGCCCCCTCCCTACCGCCAATTTATGGTTCTGGATATACTCAGGAATTAGTGTAGAATTCTCAACAATCAGATATGGTTGCTGAGGAACATCTAACAATATTAAACAATTCACATGACTCTGAAATTTGAAAATAGGTAGATACAGACATAACATGAATGAAGGGTGATACCAATTCTTTACACTGGCAACTAGGTGGACATTGAATGATACGCTTGTGAGTAATTTACTTTTATGAAAACTTTCATTAAGTAATATTTACCAAAAAACAAATAAAACTTTAGATTTATTTAAATGATTTTACTTAAAATTTTGTCACTAATTAAACTCTGTCTCTACTAAAAATACGAAAATTAGCGGGTATGGTGGCGGGCACCTGTAATCCCAGCTACTTGGGAGATTGAGACAGAAATTGCTTGAACCAGTGAGGCGGAGGTTGTAGTGAGCTGAGATCGCGCCATTGCACTCCAGCCTGGGCGACAGAGCAAGACTGTCTGAAAAGAAAAAAAGGCTGGGTATGGTGGCTCACACCTGTAATCCCAACACTTTGGGAGGCCGAGGGGGGCAGATCACAATGTCAGGATATCAAGACCATCCTGGCCAAAATGGTAAAACCCTGTCTCTACTCAAAATATAAAAATTAGCTGGGCATGGCGGTGCGCACCTGTAGTCCCAGGTACCCGGGAGGTTGAGGCAGGAGAATTGCTTGAACCTGGGAGGCAGAGATTGTAGTGAGCTGAGATCGCGCCACTACACTCCAGCCTGGCCGACAGAGTGAGAATCTGTCTCAATAAATAAATAAATAAATAAATAAATAAATAAATAAATAAAAATGTTGTCACTGATTATATTTTACATCTTACAAGAAAGGTAAATATTTTGAAAAAAGTGCAAAAGATTTAATGTATTGCTTTTTAATTTAATTTATATTTTTATTAAAACATTCAAACTTTCTACATTTTGGATGTAATTGAATTTTGCTTTTAATCCTTTTTGATCATTATTTCTGATAGAACACAATTACATACAAATCTTGATTAAATAGCATACATGGTAATTTTGCTGAAATGAAGGCAAATTTTCATGGGCTAAATATATAGGAAATGTATTAACTATAGAAGTCTTTATTACTCATCCAAAACCACCAGCCAATCAATAGGACACTTGGACAGGTATGATAATAAGTAAATGCAATCAGATTTTGCTGATTTTCAGCTATATAAAAACGTTTTTATTTTGCCATTATAAATGTTTACTCGCCAATATTGAGAGTTATAGCATATCCTAGTTAATAATGTGTTAAGTTGATTTATAACTTTTAAATATTTATACCTACAGCAGTGAGTCCATCTGTACTCTTTCTCAGGCTCCATAAATCTTAGGGGTAGGCTTCCTGCCAACCTGCTGAAGCCAGTATTATAGTGAGGCAATACAGGAAATAAACAGGTAACCAAACAGACAAATCAGGTCATTTCAAGTAGGGATAATGGCTATGAAGAAAATACCAGCTTGGTATATCTGATGGACAGAAAAGATCCCTTGTGATTGGAGTGGAGTAAATGCCAAGATCAATCCTACCTGGGATGACCTCAATTTTTTCAAGACTTCTCATTCAGATATCAGTTTAAATTCAAGTTTCAGCTTAAATTTAGGTCTCAGTTTAAAGGTCGCTAACAACTCAAACTAATGACACCTTCTAGTCACTCCTATTATATGGCTTTGTATTATTGTCATCAAGCATTCATCACATTTCCTGGTTGTTTCCAGTTTATCTGTTTGTGTATTGCCTCTCTGCTGGAATGCAAGTTACACAAGAGCAAAGACCTCAGTCTTTTTTTTTTTTTTTTGAGACGGAGTCTCGCTCTGTCCCCCAGGCTGGAATGCAGTGGCGTGATCTCGGCTCACTGCAAGCTCCACCTCACGGGTTCACGCCATTCTCCTGCCTCAGCCTCCCGAGTAGCTGGGACTACAGGCCCCGCAACCATACCCGGCTAATTTTTTGTTGTTTTTATTAGAGACGGGGTTTCACCGAAAGACCTCAGTCTCTTGTTCACCTCTATACCCTCAGCCTGTCATAAGTACACATGGAATGAATCAAGGTATCTCTACTCTGGATTAAAAGGGGTGGTAGGGTAGGAGAGGGAGAATATCCTTTTAAAAAACTCATTGAAATCATTCTTACAAATTTGCTTTTTTTAAGGTAGAGTCCGTGCCGTGAACAGTGATTGAAATGAGGAATAGAATTGACCACTCTACTGTGAGAACTCCGCCGCCAGTCAGAACAAAAGAATGTATGGTTCAAGTGTCTCTGAAAACAATGCTTTTCCTTCTATCAAGAAATACATGTCAATCATGGCTAAAATTATGGATTTAATAATTGTAAATAGCAAAAGCCATGAAAAGGATTATTAGGTAGGAGAATTGCAGAGCTACCTATGATCTATAACTGGTATTTTAAATTCAAAAACAAGAGAAATTAAGTTTGTTCTCGTCCTCAATTGAATAATCTGTGAGACAGGCACATAATTAGAAAGTTCGAGGATGTAATAATCAGAACAAATCCAAATAATTCTTTTAAAATGGATAAAAATATGTAATTCAAGATTATTACATTTTTTAAAACCAAAGCTTTTTTAAAAAAATTACATTTATGAACATCTAACTTGTTTTCCTTTTTACTTTCCAAAGTAAAATTCGGCATGGCACTATATGCCATTACAGCTGACATAGAAAGGACTGAGTCAACTCTTTGTAGCACTTTTTAAAGTTTCACTTTGATAAAGCTTTAAAAAAATACATAGGGTTTTTTTTAAGCAAGAAAAGCAAATTATCTTATCAATAAAACAGACCTGGTGTTCATTTCTTATAAAGTACCGAAAGCTGATTCCTTCTGTAAAGGTAAAATTCTTGTGACACGTTAGAAAGAAAAAAAAAATTCCTTTGAGAGATCTGTTTGTAAGAATGAAATAGGTACTACTAGAATTTTCATGTTATTCTCTGCAAGGTACTTAACACCACATGGAAAGAAGATTATTAACGATCAGTAGAAATACTAATTACTGAAGAAAATATTTAGTTGTTTTAAATGCTTTTAAAGCAAACCAACAACAAAAGGCTGTAAATGGAAGAGAATCTGCCTGAAGTATAGAAAACCAGGGCCTCCAGATTTGTAGCTGTGTTTCCAACATTCTCCAGGGAAGACAGTTACAGAAAGGCTTGACCCCCTGGCCCCAGAGAGCTCTTCAGAGAAGTTAACGCATCCAGAAAAGATAGAGCATCCGATCTCACTCCGTCTGGAAGACGTCTGTTCATCCTAGCTCTAGCGCGTACCACAGTATTTTGGAAACAGATTAGGTATATTCATACATAAGGATACTGTCTCTTCCGCAACACTAATTTGTAGTAACGCCAAGAAGACCAGTGGTTGCAGGAATCTTCGCAAACAGTCAAGAGACAACTTTTAGAGGCGATGGAAACTTTGTGATTTTGACTGGGGAGGTACATTATACCTATACATGCATTTGCTAAAAGTCATCAAACTCTTCCACTGAAGTGGGTACAACTATTGTTTGTAAATTGTACCTCAACAGGATTCGATTTATTGATTTATTTATTGAGACAGTCTTGCTCTGTGGAGTGCAGTGGTGCAATCTGGGCTCATTGCAACCTCCGACTCCCGGGTTCCAGCGATTCTTCTGCCTCAGCCTTCCTAATAGCTGGGGTTACAGGCGCCCGCCACCACGTCCGGCTAATTCTTTTATTTTTAGTAGAGACGGGGTTTCTCTATGTTGGCCAGGCTGGTCTCGAACTCCTGACCTCAGGTGATCAGCCCGCCTCAGCTTCCCAAAGTGCTGGGATTACAGGCGTGAGCCACCGCGCCCGGCTAGGATTCGTTTAGAAAGAAAAAAATATATGCGACATACCCCTCGGGAATGGAAACAAAGAGGAGTAACAAGATCTCACCCAAGCTCTGGGGCGATGGAGCCCAGCATTCATAGATCGGTTTGCACTAGCAGCAGAAGCTCATCTCACGACAAACACGGCCTCTTCCCACTTCGTAAAGTAAGGAACAAGCTCAGAGAGATGAAATAATTTTGTGGCGTTCACCCGGTCGACAGGCGCCAGCGCCAGGATTTGAACCCAAACCACGTGACTTCACAACCCGTGGCTTTCAGCACTACGCGGTGCCGCTGGCATCTAGTAAAGGCTAGATCACTATATACTGAAGGAATGATTCCGGCTACGGATCCTTAAAGCCCACAGAAGGCCCATCCAGAGACCGAAAGCTTCAGACATGAGCCGCAGCGCAGACGGCTAGACTGGAGCTACGCCGGCGACGCTCAGACTTGAGCCTGAGTCCGGCGGGCTGAGAGGCGGGCTGAGGGGCGGTCTGAGGGGCGGGCTGAGGGGGTGGGCTTTCGTCTCGGGAGGCGGAGCTGTCTCGTCGCATTCCCGGCAAGCTTGAACCTCTTCACTTGCCGTAGTGCCTGCAGCCGGAAGCTGCTCTACAGCGTGTTTTAGGTTTCCGGGTGAGGGTAGGGTTCCTTGGTACCATGTGGGAGCTGCTGTGAAGAGTTGTTGCATTCCAAGATATACCCAAATTCCCAGTTCCGGGTAAGGAGGAACACAGAGCTGCTTGATTTGGCTGCGGATGGGGGCGGCATACTGAGGGAGGGTAAGAGTTTTCCGGATATCTGAGGAATCAGGTTTGAAGGAAAACCTTGGCGCGGTCGCCGGTACTGTAATTAGTTGTTAGCGCTGTTGCCATCGTCTTTGCCTCTCCGGGGTCCACAAATCTCAGGACAGCCGTGTTGTGTGTCCATGACGGCTCTGAGCGCAGAGGAAAATTGTTTACGAGGCGCCTTATAGTTTCGTAGAAACTTCTCAAAGTGGTAATGTTTTTTTAGCCTGTGTCATTAAAACTCCGCTGGCGTGAAAGATGACGTCCTTAGCCCAGCAGCTCCAACGACTCGCCCTCCCTCAAAGTGATGCCAGCCTCTTGTCTAGAGATGAAGTTGCCTCTTTGTTGTTTGACCCTAAGGAAGCGGCCACCATCGACAGAGACACCGCCTTTGCCATAGGTGAGCCATCTTTTAACTTCGAAAAGCTCTTTGAAGCGTTTTCTGGATGTTACTTTTTTGTTTGTTTGTTGTCTTGTTTTCTCTTCTGCCTTGTCCTCTTCTTTAGCAGTTTCTAACATGTTGACGTATATTTTAAAGGAAAGAGAACATAAGAGCCAGGTGCTTGGTTCTTGAAATGTTTATGAGTAGTGGTGTCTGGATTTCACAGATGAAACGAGGTTAAGAGAGGTCAACTAATATGTCAGAAAGAAGAACAGCTAAAAGGGGATGGAGGCAGTGACTGAGAGGAGAAGTCCTCTCAGAGACTGGCCTAGTTATTGTAGGGGATAGCCAAAAAAAACAAAAACAAAAAAAACCAAAAAGGCAATGTTCCCTGCCACGAAGTGCTTTCTGTTCTAGTAGATGAGATGGGATTTACTCTATATGTTGAAAACTAGAAATCAGTGTTTGGGACTGTATTATAAATTATATGTACTTAAAGAATTCAGAGACTTCTTAGGGGTAAGTAAAACTGTAAAAGAGGGGTGGGATGAGTTTGCTTGCAAAGAATTGTTAAATAAACTGGCTGTTTTTGAAATTTAGGATGCACTGGCCTGGAAGAGTTGCTTGGAATTGATCCTTCCTTTGAGCAGTTTGAAGCACCATTGTTCAGTCAGCTAGCAAAAACCTTGGAGCGAAGTGTTCAGACCAAAGCAGTAAACAAACAGTTGGATGAAAACATTTCATTATTCCTTATTCACTTGTCGCCTTACTTCCTGCTTAAGCCGGCACAGAAGTGTCTGGAGTGGTTGATTCACAGGTAGCTAATAGAATTACAGAAATAACTGTGGGCTAATCACTTTGGTCTTTTAAAAAATTAAGTAGTTGAGAACACTTATCAAGTGAAAGCTGAAAAATTAGGTGTATTAAGAGATTGATACAGTGTCCGTCGTGTGAGATAAACATGCTCTTCTGCCTTTAAATTCTTTTTTGTTGATAGTGAAAAGTAGAACTACTGATGATTTTTAGTAAATGGTCTAACCTCATTAGTTCTTTTTTTTTTTTTTTTTTTTGAGATAGAGTCTTGCTCTGTCACTCAGACTGGCATACAGTAGCGAAATCTTGGCTCACTGAAACCTCTGCCTCCCGGGTTCAAGCAGTTCTCCCACTTCAGCCTCCCAGGTAGCTGGGATTACAGGCACCTGCCGTAATGCTGGGCTGTTTTGTGTTTTTGTAGAGATGGGGTTTCACCATGTTAGCCAGGCTGGTCTTGAACCCCTGACCTCAGGTGATCAACCAGCCTCAGCCTCCCAAAGTACTGGGATTACAGGCTTGAGCCACCTCGCCCAGCCTAACCTCATTATTTCTAAGGAGCCCATGTCACTTTGCCATTACAGCTTGTTCCTGTACACTTGGGGCAATGAGTATTAAGCTTCTTTCTTGGCAAAATAACAAAATGGTTGGGGAAGCAGGCAGTGTTATCCTCTGAAATACCATTACTTGAGAAAAACAGTGGTAGCTAATGTGTTTTGAGCATGTATACACCAGGCCTTGCTAAGCACTTTACCTGCATTATCTCATTTAATTCTCACAGCATTCCTCTGGTGAGATTACTTGTATTATCCTTGTTTTACAGTTGAGAACTGAGGCTTAGAGGGGTTAAGTTCCTTGAGTCACACAGCTAGTAAGTGGCAGAGCTAGGATACAACTGAAGTTTATTTCCAAGGTCTGATCTTTTATCTGCTTTGGGAATTGTCTCAATAAGTTTCCTTGGTTTATGTTCTCGCATATTGGTATCACATCACAGCATACACATTTTTGTTTTGTTTATTCTCCCATTATGTATGTCTTTTTTTTTTTTTTTTAAGAGATAGTCTCGCACTGTCACCCCAGCTGTAGTGCATTAGTACGATCTCAGCTCACTGCAACCTCCGCCTCCCAGGTTCAAGCAATTCTCCTGCCTCAGCCTCCCAAGCAGCTGGGATTACAGGCACCCACCACCAAGCCCAGCTAATTTTTTGTATTTTTTGTCGTAAAGGTGGGGTCTCCCCATGTTGGCCAGGCGGGTCTCAAACTCCTGACCTCATGATCCACCCAGCTCAGCCTCCCAAAGTGCTGGTGTGAGCCTCTGCAGCCCCTGCACACGACTGTGTTTTTCATTTTTACTTTTTTTGAGTGTCGGGATTTCACACTGTCACCCAGGCTGGAGTGCAGTGGTGTGATCATGGCCCACTTGACCTCCAGGGCTCAGATGATCCTCAGATCTCAGCCACCCAAGTAGCTGGGATTGCAGACATGCACCACCATGCCCAGCTAGTTTTTTCGTTTTTTTGTTTTTTGTAGAGATAGTATCTCACTTTGTTGCCTGGGCTGGTCTGGAACTCCTGGCCTCCAGCGATCCTCCTGCCTCATCGGCCTCCCAAAGTGCTGAGGTTACAGGCATGAGCCACCACACCCAGTCCACCTTACATATTTTAAAAGTAGATTTCTATTCCATTAATTGGAGACATGGCCTGGCCAGCATGGTAAAACCCGTCTCTATGAAAAAGACAAAAATGAGCTAGGTGCAATGGTGAGCACTTGGAATTCCAGCTACTTGGGAGGCTGAGGCAGGAGAATTAACTTGAATTCAGGAGACGGATTTTGCAGTGAGCTGAGATTGCGCCACTGCACTCCAGCCTGGGTAACAGAGGGAGACTCTGTATCAAAAAAAAAAAAACAAAAAATGGAGACATGGGGATAAACTAATTTTTTTTCAAGAAGCAAGTGAGTCATCAAGAAAACATAATTTTATCTTGGGTCTTTGATTGTCAGAACATGAGGGCAGTCAGACAAAAAAGAATATTTAAAAGTCTGTAATATTTCCATCCGTTTTCTAGTGCTTAATTTTACCCCCAAATAGATCATTAATGTAAGAAATACTTATACTTTTTGCATTTGATTTTTCATTTTATTTCTTCAGATAACTTATTTATTTATTCAGCAAATACTAAGTTCAGTACACAGGTAAGTACATTGCCCGTGATTACTGTTTTGAAATAAATGCCGTAATAAAGGATTAAGCACAGTTTTTGGATGTAGTTCTGCCTGGAATAGTTGGAAAAAGCTTCATGGAAAAAGTAATGGCTTGGATAGTGCTAAAATTGTATGTCAAACTAATAGGCTGGATTCAGTGGCTCAGGAGTTGGAGACCAGCCTGGGCAACATGGTGAAACCCCATTTCTACTAAAGTAAAAAAAAAAAAAATTACCTGGGCATGGTGGTGTACGCTTGTAGTCCCAGCTACTTGGGAGGCTGAGGCAGGAGAATCGCTTGAACTCGGGAGGTGGAGGTTGCAGTGAGCTGGAATTGTGGTGCTGCACTCCAGCCTGGGCAACAGCAAGACTCCCTCTGGAGAAAAAAAAAAAAATGGTTGAGAGACTAGTCTGGGCAACATAGGGAGACTTGGTCTGTATATGGCAATAGAAAATTAGCCAGCTGCGATGGTGCTCACCTGTGGTCCCAGCTCCTTAGGAGACCTAGGTGGGAGGATCACTTGAGTCTGGGAGGTCAAGGCTGCAGTGAGCCACGATTGTGCCACTGCGCTCCAGCCTGGGTGGCAGAGCAAGATCTATTTCAAAAAAATAAAATTTTAAAGCTGAGAGAAAGTTAATGGGATGTAGATTTTGATGTTGAATATTCAAAGATACTGCATAGGAATTGGCTGGACCATGTTGAGGGATATGCGAATGCACAATTGAGGACTTTTTAAATGCTCTGTGTCTTGCTTATAATTGTGTGATTTTCACTGCTACTCATTCTAGGTTGTTTTAGCTCATTAATATACAGTTTGAGCATGTGAGGAAATAGGTGCTTATTATTTTTGTATCCAGTTGGACTGTTTGCTTTTTTCCCCCAGATTCCATATACATCTCTATAATCAAGATAGCCTCATTGCTTGTGTTCTGCCATACCACGAGACAAGAATATTTGTGCGAGTCATACAGCTTCTAAAAATTAATAATTCAAAGCACAAATGGTCCTGGTTGTCGCCAGTTAAGGTACGATTGCTGAATGACACATGTCTGTAGTCATGACAAATCTTGATTACGGGGTTTAATTAGGGAAAATAAGTCAGTGCTCCTGGGGATAGTCCAGATAATTACCTCCATCATCTTTATTTCCTAACTTCCAATTGAAGCTATTACTAATGTTCATAATATTTAGCTTTTATTTAGTATCTGACGTCAGGCTGGGCAATGTACATTATATTCTCTTGGATTATCACAAAACTTCATTTTTACAGATGAGGACAGGCTGCTTGCCAAAGTTCACATAACTAAAAAGTGGCAGAGTTGAGATTTGAACCCCAGTCTGATTCCAGAGCCTGTGCCTTTCTGTTGTACCATGCTGTTTGGCATTTTAAATTTTGGAACTGAGGACTTAAAAGTTGAAGACGCACAAAGGCAGAAAATACTTACAAAAATGAAAAGGATAAAGATAACTTCAGGGGCTTCAATAATTTATTAAAGTTGTGAGGAAGATGCTAGTAATTAATTTACAGACGAATAAAAGGATGCTTGTGTAACAGGAAGGGTCTGGGTAAGAAAAGACAGCATGATACTGTAGGCAAACCAACTGACTAACCATTAGCACTTTGCAGCATATGGTGGAGGAAAGTAGACGTATGTTGTTGGCAGGAACTTTACTGCATATTGAGCATGGTGATCCAGGGTAGGAGAGGAGGCACATTGGGATGAGAGTAAGCTAACAGATCATGGGGCTGTGCACATTTGGCTGATGATGGTAGTGGGGTCAGTGTTCAGAATTAGTAAGACAGGAGGAATGAGGACTCTTTAATTAGAAGGATAATTTAAGAATCTGAATGTAAAGCACTTTAAAGAACGTTGGAGAAGGCCAGCCTTTGATAAAGCTCTTAAACTGCTTTTCGCAACATTCACTCTGCCCATAGCATCAAAATTATTCTTCCTCTGATCTACCCTTGGACCTTGCTGCTCCCTAGGCATTCTTATTCCAGGTATCCAAACTCCACTCACCTACTAAAGTTCACTTAAAATTCTCCTTTCACTTAATATTTATTGAGCATCTATTACATACCATGTACAATGCTAGATGGTGGGAATAGTGATATAAGTTGTCCACGTTCCTCGTCTATTTCTGTTCTTAGCGTTATTGTAAAGCAATGACAGAAGCATATCATATTGGCTCAGAAACCATATCGAACCAGTAAAATTACTGAGAATCTAGAGCATCCAGATTTTGATAAATACCTTTCAAAATGTGACATATGATAAGCAAACATTTTTCACTAAATACCTCTGCCCTCTTTGCTGACCTTCTCTTTTGAATTTCTAAGTTTACATGATTTTCTGTGTTAATTGCATCACCAACACCAGTTATAAGGAGCGATTATATTTTTAATTTATGAATTGGAGCAGTGTGAAGACGTTACTAGGGTACTTTTAAATAAGGATCAGTTGATGAATGTCGCTAAGAGTTTGTTCTTTCTGTCAATAATAGCAATCTGGAGTGCCCTTAGCTAAAGGAACTTTGATTACCCACTGCTACAAAGATCTTGGATTCATGGATTTCATTTGTAGTTTGGTGACAAAATCTGTGAAGGTGAGCGATCTTGTTTCATGAGTATATAATTTTATGAAAAGATTGCCTGCTTTGAATGAAGAAAACATACTAAAGCATACCCTAATAACAGTAGTACTTTGGATAAATTTATTTTGTTAAATGGTCTGGTGTTTTGAAGCAGGAGTAGTTTGAGAGTCCGTGGTTTTTGTTGTTGTTGTTGTTGTTGTTTTTTAAAGAATCAATCTTTTATCACCAAAGGTGTTTTTCTACGAAAATAAATGCCTATTCTTTGCCAGATTCTAGTTACAGTGACTATTCGAAGAGGCTTCTAGAAATGTCAGGAATATTCAACCTGGGAAAGCTGTTTAAAAAATTATAAGGCCAGGCACGGTGGCTCACGCCTGTAATCCCAGCACTTTGGGAGGCCGAGGCTGGCAGATCCCTTGACGTCAGGAGTTTGAGACCAGCCTGGCCAACCAACATGGTGAAACACCGTCTCTACTAAAAATACAAAAATAAACTCAGCATGGTGGCGCGTGCCTGTAATCCTGGCTATTCAGGAGGCTGAGGCAGGAGAATTGCTTGAACCTGGGAGGTGGAGGTTGCAGTGAGCCAAGATTGTGCCACTGTACTGCAACCTGGGCGACAGGGCGAGACTGCTTCTCAAAAAAAATTTTTAAAAATTAAAATGTTAGGAATATCATTAGGCAGTTAATTCTTGTCACATTGTGTATTTATTCATTGTTGCATATGGTAGTTCAGGAGAACTATGAATATTTATTTGGCCTTTCACTTTTGTTTTGTTTTGTTTTGTTTTTTTTTTTGGAGACATGGTCTTGCTCTGTCGCCCAGGCTAGAGTACAGTGGTGCCATCATAGTTCACTGAAGTCTCAGCCTCGAACTCCTGGCCTCAAGCAATCCTTCTACCTCCCTTTCACTGTTAAATGTGTTTTGTTTGTGTTCCTTGTTTCAGGTTTTTGCTGAGTCCCCGGGCAACTCAGCTCAGTTGAGGGTGCTCTTGGCTTTCTATGCTTCTACCATAGTGTCGGCGCTGGTAGCTGCAGAGGACGTATCAGACAATATCATCGCCAAACTATTTCCCTACATCCAAAAGGTTGGCACTGCTGATGTGTTAAGTAGATTATTTTGTACTTAAAGGAATTTTCTTGCTTTTGAAAGTTTTTTTAGATTTAAGTGTTTTTAAATGGACAGTTTATTTCAGATGGTTGATGAGATTTAGCCTTTAGGTTGAAAATATGACACTTTTTTATTGGAAACTCACCAGACTGGGACCTTAATCAGGACTCTTAAGAATAAACATTGGCTGTCTGGCCCTGACGCTATCTCCTAGATTGATTTCCATGGCAGTCTTTGTACCTCACTGGAAGAAGGATGGAGCAGACAGTCTCTTCGGGGCGTAAGCAGCCTCTCAGCATTCTTTGTGCACTGGCTCCTGCCTCTCAGCGTTTCTCCTTCCCAAATGCCTTGTTGGCCTGCTGCCTTCCCAGGTGCCCCGTGGAGGTACTGCTTTCACTTCCCACAGTGTCCCAACTTGTTATCTTTCATCAGACTTGTTTCTTCCATTAGTGATCTGATTGAGGTCTCCCTCCCATAAGTAGGATTTTATGTATAAAAGAAGAGCTTACTGGCTGCTGTTAGGACATGCGGTAGATGTTTGAGTTGGGAAAATTTTCTGAGATCCTTTTTCTCGTCCAACGGACTTATCTCTGTATCCACTCTGAAAAAGGGGTCAGCTCCTTTATTGTTTACGTCTGAAGAGTGATTGATTATGCATTAGGTTGTATTAATTTCTATGACGTTTCTAATCTGTCAGATTAACATTTAAAATAGCAGAAAATAATATGGTTTATCATTTTTCCTTTTGTTTAAAAAATATTTAGGGATTGAAATCATCTTTACCAGATTACAGAGCTGCAACATACATGATAATATGTCAAATTTCTGTGAAAGTGACCATGGAAGATACCTTTGTGAATTCATTGGCGTCACAGATCATCAAAACATTGACCAAGATTCCGTCTTTGATCAAGGATGGATTAAGTTGCTTGATAGTGCTCCTGCAAAGACAGAAGCCAGAGAGCCTTGGGAAAAAGTACGTACCATTGAATTGAGAAATGGTGCTAGTCAGAGGTGAATAAAATTATTTTGAATAATTTTTTTTGTAAGATAAGTGATTATGTATATTTGTTTATATTGTCACTTACTGTCTAACTTGTAAAGTCAAAAGGATATGTACTTTTGCTTCTTCAAAGGCCATTCCCTCACTTATGTAGTGTTCCCGATCTTATTACCATACTTCATGGGATTTCTGAAACTTACGATGTCAGTCCTCTTCTGCGTTACATGCTTCCCCATCTGGTTGTCTCCATCATTCATCATGTTACAGGTATGTGGTTTTATATTTTTTGTCCAGAAATTTTCTAAGATTTTATCTTAAAATAGTAACCATATCCTGGTTAACAGCTTTAAAATATTTAAAATTTCTGTTTTCCAGTTGTTCTTGTGTAACTTATCTATTTCTTAAGTGAGAAACATTTGGGGTGGGGAGCAGGTTGGTTGAAGAGAGATCCTTGTTAAATGAGTAATTTCTTAGAATTCTACTTTTTTTTTTTTAGATCTGTGTTCTTAAATACTTAGTCTCTTCATGAAAAAGACTAGAATAATTTTAAAATTCATTACTGAGTAAACCTTTGCCTTCTCATTTAGGTATTTAATGAACTTTAGTGATTCATTTACAGTGAATATCTCATCCAGTTGCCAAAAAAGTCTTTTCCCTACAGTAATTAAAAATATAAGACCAAGAAGATTTTTATACATAAAAATCCAAATTATGAAAGAGGGCCAGGTGGCTCAAACCTATAATCCTAGCACTTTGAGAAACTGAGACGGGCAGATCATGGCAAAACCCTGTCTCTACAAAAATGTACAAAAATTAGCCGGGCATGGTGACATGCAACTGTGGTCCCAGCTGCTCGGGAGACTGAGGTGGGAGATCACCTGAGCCCAGGGAGTTCGAGGCTACAGGGAGCTGTGTTTGTGCCACTGCAGTTCAGCCTGGGCGACAGAGCGAGACTCTATCTCAAAAATAATAATAATTATAATTAGAAATTGATTGTTTGCGTTACGTCTTTTAATAAATATGAAAAGACTAGGAAGAAACACTAGGTTCTGTTGCTGCTTGGAGAATCCTAAGAAAGACTTCTCTAAACTTATGTTAGTCTACTGAAAAATGAGATTTTCATAACCAAATCTTGGTTTAATCATGCATTTTAGAAAAGTGACTAGCCAAATGAAAATGTATTCTTCCTATTCTGAAGGTAATGAGTAATGTCCCATTCTTTGAAAGCAAGGGCTAAGATCAGATTCATACGTTTATTATAAATCTGAAATAGATGACAACTCTTGGTTCAGTAAGGGGGTAGGTACTGAGATGAAAGTCTAGCGTGTTTTCAGAGATAGTTGTTTGGGACATCACAACTAATTTGTAATGTTACCTGGGGAAAGATTAATTTTGGACTTTTGTTTTATTATTGTTATAAGCATGATAATACTTGTTAAAAATAGAGAATTTCAGATAAAGGAAAAATGAAGGTGATCTATACAAAAAAGCTTTGAAAAATATAAATGACTAAATAAGTAGAATGCACTTCTGGAAATAGATAAAAAAAGCTGGATATCAGTGTGTGTGTTTTATTCTGAGAAAGTTTTTCTGCTATAAGTGAATTTAATAATGTTAGCTTGCAAAGTAAATTTTTCCCAACACAATTTTAATTTCTACATATTAAGGAGAAGAAACTGAAGGAATGGATGGTCAAATCTACAAGAGACACTTAGAAGCTATACTTACAAAAATATCACTGAAGAACAACTTAGACCATTTGTTGGCTAGGTAAGCTATTATTTTTGACATGCTTTTGATTTACATTTTTGTGACTCAGTATTATTTTCTAGATTGGTTAGAAATTTCCCAGTATTCCTTTTTAATGTATATCTTGTTTTGTCTGTATCATTTCGTTAACTATCAGTACTTAATCCAGTAACTGGCAGCATTAAAAGCAAAAGTAATTTTTCTTGCATACCTTTAGTGCTTATAGATGAAAATGGAAAGTTAGTGGTTAAGCTAAATTTGGGTAATAACTAAACGCAGTTTTTGGCCATTTGAAGTTTTCTATTAGTAAATGGACCGTAATATCTGAAATAACACATCACAATTAAAACGCCGTAAATGTCATTTAGAAACAATATTGAAGGTAGGCATAGAGTAAGGATTATTTCATTGCTCTAAAGATAATTCAGTCTTTTTTTTTTTTTTCTTAATGGGCAACTTGATACAGTGAAAAGATGTAGGCGTTGCAGTCAGACATAGGTGTGATTCTGCCCTAACCACTTCCAGGACTATAGTAAGTTTTGGAGGTGAGACTGGATGTGGCTTTGCCATTTTGTAGCATCAAGAGGGTACCTCTGTGTTGGTGTGCGTCGTTCATGCCCCTTTGCTCAGTGGGTTGGTTTGTGAATTAAAGGAGAGTATACACATGTAGTAATGTTGAGAACATAGGCTCTGGAATCAGACTGGGGCTTAAAATGTGAAACTGCACTCTGTGGCACAGAAGGGCTCACTGAGTGTAGCCTTTTGTTGCTGTTCTCGTGAGCAAATTGGAAGGCTTATACCCTAGTTTCTTTTCCTTTTTTTTTTTTTTCTTTTGAAATGGAGTTTTGCTCTTACTGCCTAGGCTGGAGTGCAGTGGTGCCATCTCAGCTCACTGCAACCTCTGCCTCCCAGTGTTGGGGTCCGCGTGTTTCCTAAACAAAGGAATGAACACACAAGACAACACAAGACAAGACAAACATGGCGGCCGCCTCGAATGGCGCGCTCCGCTTTATTTTATACAGTCGTTTGTGGAATGTTGCCAAGTCACAAGACACATTGTTGTTTTTCTGACCTTTCCCTGACTTTCTGGATTTTCAAGATATTTACATATAAACAGGCCCCCAACGCCCTGCTTCGTTTGCGAGAGCAGGACTTATGGGGAACGCCCTGCTTCGTTTTCGAGAGCAGGACTTATGGGGAACGCCCTGCTCCGTTTGCGAGAGCAGGACTTATCGGGAACGCCCTGTTTGTGAGCACGTAGTCCTCTACATTTCCCCTTTCCTTATTTACAAGTTTGAATTTCTTTTAAAACCATCATTACGTGTTGGGCTCGCTGGGATTCGGTGTTTGCCCTTTGGCACCATCTCCAGCAGACTGTGAAAAATGACAAAGGCAAATTTTTCACAATCTTGCTCTGCCAGAGGAATGGTGAAAAAGCAATCCTTAAGATCAATTATAATTAAAGGCCAGTCTTTTGGGATCATGGCCGGAGAGGGCAATCGGGGTTGAAGAGGCCCCATGGGTTGAATTACAGCATTTACGGCTCTTAAGTCCATTAACATCCGCCATTTGCCTGATTTTTTCTGAATTACAAATACAGGAGAATTCCAGGGTGAGAATGAAGGCTCAACGTGTCCTTTTTCTAATTGTTCCTTTGCTAATAAATGTAAAGCCTCCAGTTTTTGCTTCGGTAGTGGCCACTGATTTACCCATACCGGTTTCTCTGTTTTCCAAGTTAATGGAATGGGTTTAGGAGGCGCTACAGTGGCCGCCCCTAAAAAGGATACTTTATTCCTTTTCTTTCTTGATTTTTCTCAGTCTCAATTGGGACTTTAATGCCATTTTTATTTTTTCCTAACCCCTTTCCTGGTATATATCCCATCTTAGTCACGATTTTTTGACTCGTGGGGCTGTATAATGGAGCGGGCATAATGATTTCCGCACCCCATTGTTGTAATAAATCTCGACCCCATAGATTAACAGGAATTGAAGTAATCATTGGCTGAACAGTACTTTCTTATCTGGTCCTAAACAATGTAAAATCATTGTACTTTCACACACTTCTGAAGCTGTGCCTACGCCGACAAGTCTTGTAACAGCCTTTTGTTTAGGCCAATTTTTTGACCACTGATTTAAAGCAATGACAGAGATATCTGCTCCAGTGTCTACCAACCCTTCAAACTGTTTTCCTTGAATAAGGGCCTTACACACAGGTCTGCTCTCAGAGACCAGACTTGCCTAATATGCAGCCTTTTCTGCCTGATCAGTGCTTCCGAACCCTCCTGTTCTTTTTATCTCACTGTTTCCAACTTTAATATAAGGTAGGAGTAATAATTGAGAAATCCTGTCTCCTAGACTGGCACTCCAAGGAGTTGAGGAACTAATAACCAATTGAATTTCGCCTTTATAGTCTGAATCAACCACACCAGTATGAAACAGGAGCAGCGGTACCCTGCAATTTTAACAACTGTTGTAACAGCTCTAAAATGCGCTGCAAATCAGAATTTCCTTCAGATGAAGGAGGCATTAGCTCTTTTTCCAATTCCTTGTCCTCAACAACCGGGGCGTAAATATGTTCCTCTCTAGGATCATTCCTCTCTAAAGCTTCAGATGCCTCACCTCCTGTGGCAGTATTGCCATGCTTTGAGTCAGTTTCAAGTAACTCTAATGCCTGAGTAATGGAACTACACAAAGTCCACAAAGTCAGAGGCAACATTTGCCCCCGCTGATGAGCTCGACGCAGGGCTTTAACCACTTAAACCATTCCTTTCTATTTAACTGCACTTTGGTTTGGTATTGAAACCAATAACAATGTTGTTCAACATGGGCAAACAAATCGCTTCAAAGTCTTATGTTCCTTAACTAACTTTTACTCCTATAGACATCAACAGTCCCTGGAGTAACCACAAATATTCAGTGACCAGAGAGGTGGAATTCCCCATAATTTTCCCGTGGGTCCCCCTTTCTTTCTTTACCTGCCCGGGGTGTTCCCCCTCCGGTTCCTTGCTCTCGTGGAGCCATGGACCCTGCTCGCTGCGCCAGATGTTGGGGTCCGCGTGTTTCCTAAACAAAGGAATGAACACACAAGACAACACAAGACAAGACAAACATGGCGGCCGCCTCGAATGGCGCGCTCCGCTTTATTTTATACAGTCGTTTGTGGAATGTTGCCAAGTCACAAGACACATTGTTGTTTTTCTGACCTTTCCCTGACTTTCTGGATTTTCAAGATATTTACATATAAACAGGCCCCCAACGCCCTGCTTCGTTTGCGAGAGCAGGACTTATGGGGAACGCCCTGCTTCGTTTTCGAGAGCAGGACTTATCGGGAACACCCTGTTTGTGAGCACATAGTCCTCTACATCCCAGGTTCAAGTGATTTGCCTGCCTCAGCCTCACTAGTAGCTAGGATTACAGGCATGTGCCACCACACCTGGCTAATTTTGTGTTTTTGGTAGAGACAAGGTTTCTCCTTGTTGGTCAGGCTGATCTCAAACTCCTGACCTCAGGTGATCCACCTGCCTCGGCCTCCCAAAGTACTGGGATTACAGGCGTGAGCCACCACAGTTTCAAATAGCAATGTAGTCTTGCTGTGTTGTCCAGACAGGTCTCGAACTCCTGGCCTTAAGCAGTCCTCCTGCCCTGGCCTCTGAAAGTGCGGAGATTGTAATGCCAGTGGTGTGAACCACTACACCAGACCCCTAGTTTCTTTATCTGTAAAATAAGTATTAAATTATACCTTGTATAAGTATAACAATTAGAGATAATATTTCTAAAGCACTTAGAATATAGTAGGTACTCAATAAATAGTGACTCTTATGTATGCTGATATTTCTGTGTGTGTGTGTTTTTTTTACAGTCTTCTATTTGAAGAGTATATTTCATATAGTTCACAGGAAGAAATGGATTCTAATAAAGTGTCTTTGCTTAATGAACAATTTCTTCCACTCATTAGGCTTTTAGAAAGCAAGTAAGTCATGCGTGTATGTTTATGCTCTTCTGAAGTACTTCCTGTTCTATAAAGATATGATTCACAAGTCACATCTTAATATACTGAATTGTACAGAGATTGTCCTTTTTTAAATTTTTTCTTCAAGAAGGGTTGAATATCGGAATTAAAACTATTTGAAATATAAGAGGAAATAGTGACTGTGTGGGGGCTATGGAGAGTATAATTTTTTATAGAGAGACTGTTTTGTTATTGGAGTAGTTATAGTAACAAATTTGACCAATATCATTTGGTTTTACATACAACATTTGTTAAAATTCAAGTCGTAGTCTCAGTAATTTTTAAAATTTTATGTCTTTCTATTATATGTGTATGGTGTATGAGATTAATAAATTTATTAAGAGTAATGAATTCACTCTTTAATTGCTTCCCAGATACCCCAGAACGTTAGATGTTGTATTAGAGGAGCACTTAAAGGAAATTGCAGATCTGAAGAAACAAGAGCTTTTTCATCAGTTTGTTTCTCTTTCAACAAGTGGAGGAAAGTATCAGGTATGTTGTTCTCTAAGGGAATTACGACAATTTGGGGTACATTTGTATGGTTATGTGAAGAGATCCAGAAGGAAATTTGTCAGTTTTTTCCATGGCATAGAAAATTTTACAGAGATGACCTTATATAGTTTGCCTAGTTGCCTGAAGTATGGCTCTGAGGCAGGAATAGAATAATTGGAGAAAGGTACAATAATTTGTACATAACCATGAACGTGATACTTATTTCAGGAAAAGTATTGTTGGAGAATTTTGTACGGGATATTCATTAAGAATCATCAAAGGACGGCCTCGTAGGTTTCTGGCGTCCTCTGTCTTTCAGCTAGGTCTATGCGTTCCAGTGTACCAGCCACAAATGGCTATTTATAGTATTGATTAGCAAGGGGGAGATGGGTTCTATTTCATGGTCACATTAAAACTTGAGAAATTTTCTGGTGATTCAAGCCTAAAGTGTTATACTAGAAGTTAGACATTTAAGCAGAAGTTCTTTAATTAGCCTTAAAAACAGATAATTATGAAGAGAAATATGATTGTTTTAGTATTTCTCTTCCATAATTAGACTTTCATCTTTGATGGTGTTGCATTTCCGAATCAGGTTGATGGGTAGACTTCCTTTTTTGTCTAATTGCATAGGTGAACTAAGGTGTCACTAATTTGAGTGTCACTATTTGTTATAGCATGTAGATGAATTGCATTCTGTTTTCTTGGAGGTGCTGAAACAGTGATTTATCTTAGGTACTCTTTACTTTGGAATCAGATATGCATACAAAATACAAAATTACTTTGTAGAATTACTTCACCAAATTAAACCTACACATAGACACAAGTATACGTGAAATCATACCACTAACAATACAAATTTTTTTCATCTGTTGCAACTCATATAATAATGTTCTAGAAACAAAGATTTTGCTCTTTTTTTGTTTTCTGTAGTTAGATGGTTGTTACTGAAAACGTTGGACAGTTTGGGGTGATTTTCTTTGGGTTTTATTCTTGATCGTAGACTGTTCAGATTAAGTGAAATAATTTGATAATTACATTGAACCCTGTAGTTTTTAGCAGATTCTGATACTTCTTTGATGCTCAGCCTGAATCATCCACTTGCTCCTGTGAGACTTCTGGCCATTAATCATTTGAAAAAGATCATGAAAACATCAAAGGTTTGTTTCAGATTGCTTTTGTGTATGACTTTTTTTTTTTTTCTTAATGATGAGCAGTGTAATTCTGAATAAGAAATTGGAGTTACTACCTAGAATTGGTAGTGGATAATTGTACAGATGAGCTGAATAAACCTCATGAGAGTACTTACTTCAGACTAATATTTAGGACTGTGTGTGCCAGTAGTCCCCATTTTAACAATAACCTAATAACTGCTTTTATGTTTCCACATTGACGGTTATTTGTTTATCTTTAGTGTTTTTCAAACTAGAGTTTGTAGATTAATTCACATAGGTTCATTAATTATCTGAGAATTTTTTTAGTTTTGAAATTTGATTTTGGGCTGGTCACAGCAGCTCATGCCTATAATCCCAACACTCTGTGAGAAGGATCACTTGAGCCCAAACGTTTGAGACCAACCTGGGCAACATAGGGATACCCCCTTCTCTATAGGAAAATAAAAAAAATAAAAAATTAGCCAAGTTTGGTGGCACACGCTTGTGGTCGCAGCTACTTGAGAGGCTGAGGTAGGAGGATCTCTTGGGCGTGAGGTTGAGGCTGCAGTAAGCCACGATCATGCCACTGCTCTCCACCCTGGGTGACAGGGCAAGACCCTGTTTAAAGAAAAGCCAAGAAATTTGATTTTGATAGTCTTAATTTTAGATGAAGGCGTATTTTGGGACATTTGGATGATAACTTTTGAACAGTGTTCCGTGATTTGGGTACCTGCAGTTTCATTTGTCTTTAAAATGTAAGTGGCTTCAAATATGTGTTGAGGCTGACTTCATTTGTAAATAATTTGGTCTAATTTGCATTTATACCGAAAGGCATTGGTATGAAGACTTGGTAGTAATACAAGTAGAATAGTAGTTTCCAAACTTTAGTCATTCAAGCAGTCCTTTTACAATTTTTGCTAAATTATAAATTGCCACTGATAGTAGTATTGTTTTCTCAAAATTTTTCTTTATTTCAGATGGACTCATTATTTTTTTACATAGCCTTCAGATTGTGGGTGTGAGGTGGTAATTGTATATACATTTTACTACAGTTACTGTAATTAAAATAGGAATGCTCCATCTGTGTCATGTCTAAAATTATGCACCATGATTTGCATATTTGAGAAATTTCTGGAATAAAGTGGTAACAGAGTTTAGTTTCCATGTAGCACATGGCAGTGTAAACATGCCGAACTCTCGAACCTGTGTCACAGCAATTATAGCCAGGTTCGTATTACAAGTAAAATCATATGATCAGTAAAATTTAATTTCAGCTAATTACAATTAATCACACTAAATTCATCTTCATTTGAATCGTATTGGTTTTATAGAGTTTTTAGTATTTCCCTTGTAGATTAAAAAAATTTTTTTTGTTTTATGTTACCTATATTTTAAGAAGTTATACTTAATTTTAAGTTGATATGTAAACAATAAACAATTTAAACAACATTTAGATCTTTGAGAAAGTTTCTTTAAAAGTGGCTGATGTAATATTCAGGTTTAAGAAATGTTGCTTTATTTGATCTGGCATGAATTCTGCTTTTATAAACTGCCAATAGGTTTATTTTGTTGATGTGTTAAATAATTTCATTGAATAATAGTCTTTGTTGTGATAGGAGGATTTTAGTGATAAGAAATTCTTCTGGAATAAAGGGGGAGTCCTGGAATCTTCTGTTTCTGAAGTTGTTCTCATCCTTCCTTCTTTTACTCTTACTGCCTTTCTCTCCCGTTCTCTGGGTTTGGTTAGCTGCATACATTCAGTTTACAGGCTTGAGTATTGTAATTGCAGTTGATGTCTTCCTTTGCATACCATGTTTCATTTTCTTTTCTCCATCCATGACAGGACATAGGTTTTATTCTAAACTCCAAGTTCAGATATATGGCTGCTTATTAGCTCTTGAGGATTTTTTTTTTTTAAGTGATGGGATCTTGCTGTGTTATCAAGGCTGGCCTCAAACTCCTGGGCTTAAGCAGTCCTCCCACCTCAGCCTCCAGAGTAGCTGGGATTATAGACATGCACCACTGTGCCTGAATAACTTAATCTTTGTGAATTCTATGAATTTTCATTTTTCTCCCAACAGAGTGACCTATGTTTTTTATATTATTTAGTTGCCTGCCACATACTGATAGGGATATATTCAGGTTGGTTAGCAGGCTTATTTTTTTTCTCTGTGAATGAATAGACATTGTTTTCTTTTATTCGTTATGTTTGAAAAATGATCTCTGTTTTGGCAGACTGGCCTTGTAGTACATGTCCTTATCCTTGTAAAAATTTAGATAATACTAGCTAACTTCTAACAGTACTTATGTGTAAAGCACTCTGCTACAGACTGACATGTATTTTTTAATCTTCTAACAACCCTTGGAGGTAGGTATTATTATTAACAAACCTGTTTTATAGGTGAGATTAGTGAGATCCAGAAAGGTTAAGTGACTTGACTAAAGTCACACAGCTAGTAAGTGGTAGAGCTCGGATTTAAATTAGACATTCTTATTCTTTAGTCTATACCCTGTCGATATCTGGGCTGTCACTTTAATAAGATGAACTCCTTAATTACAAAAACTATATTTGGAGTATACCATATTTACTATATTTACTGTATTTTCACTGAAAACTTGAAAAAAAATTGTACCAAACAATTATTAATCTCGAAAGGCCCTTAGCGATTACCCAGTTCTAGTGCGTTTCAGTCCTCATCCAGAGCAGAGCCTGTGTTAGACTGTTACTCTGGAGTGTTTTTCACAAAACCATACTTCCTTTCTAGTGCAAAGCCTTAAGAGATTTTTAGCAACAGCTAAATTAATTTTTTTTCTTTTATTGCTCAGGAGGGTGTTGATGAGTCTTTCATAAAAGAAGCTGTTTTAGCCCGATTAGATGATGATAATATAGATGTTGTTTTGTCGGCTGTAAGTGCTTTTGAGGTGAGTGCATTTGTCCTTTGTTGAGATATACAATTTTGTAAATTTTCTTGCCCTTCTCACATGATTCTCTGCCGGAGACTAGAGTATTTTTGGAAATTATTTTTCCATGGGAAATTTGTTCTCTGGAGAGCACAGACTTAAGTCTGGTTAGGAGAAACTTGTAGGAATTCACAATGTAATATATTAAATATATATGAAAGTTGTTCAAACAGGAAATGTTTTGTGAATTTTTATATTGCTTTTAACATATTTTTATCAATAGCAAATACCTTGGGACCATTGTCTTATGAATGCCACTTTTGAGAAATACGTCTTAAAACTTTTAAGTTGTACTAGGATTCCTGGGAGAAATTCCTTATAATTCATTGTTTTTAAAATTTGCATTTAAAAAGCACCATGTATGTTTGAAGCAAGTACAGATCTACTCATGGATATTTTTTCCCTTTAGATTTTCAAAGAACATTTCACTGCAGAAGTGACGATTTCAAATCTTCTGAATCTCTTTCAAAGAGCGGAACTTTCAAAGAATAGAGAATGGTATGTATTCATTTCTCCTCATACTATTTTGAATTGATGAAGTTTTTATATCAGATTCTTTCTATTTCTTCTTTTTTTTTTTAAGGCTTTGATTACATGACCCCTTTGTTGTGGTAGTAGAACAGATCTTAATGTAATACTTTTTTTCATTATACAGTTAATTAATTTGTGTTTGTGTGTGTTCGTTATACTATTCTCTGTGTTTGGAATTTCTCTTAAAAAAATGCAAAAGGAAATATATAATGGATGATACTGAATTCTGGGAAGTAAGATGGGAAGGACTTTCTAATTTTCTACTTTATATAATTTTTACTTTATAATTAAAAACATACCAATGTATTAAACAAATTAAAAAATAAGTTCAGAGACACAATACCATCTGTGGTAAGTTTTTAATGAGCTCTGTTTATTTCATTTTTGGCACCAAAGCTTTTTGCAAGAAAAAGTAAGTAAGCTCCATAGAGGATGACAGTGTGTCTTACGTGTTTTTGTGTCTATCATATGGGTAGATATCTATCATGTAGGATGTGCTTGGTTCATTTTCTTTGAATACCTGAGTGAATCTGATTTCCAGTAGAGTTGAGACATCTAGTGTGATATGTCTTATGTTATAGTTAACCTCTAGTGATTTCTCTAAGAAAAATTATTATTATTTTTTTTAAGATTAGACAGGATGAGCGGATTAACAGTATTGTTGGCCAGGCACAGTGGCTCATGCCTATAATCCCAGTGCTTGTACAAGAAATAAATAAATAAAAATATTGTCACGGATAACTCTATTATTGACATGGATTTTAAGTGGTGTCTTAGTGTGTCTGAATAATAGTTTTGGTCAGGAGACCAGGATATTGTCAGTTTAGCTGGAGTAATGTAATGATGAATTTTTGCCCAGTTGAAGCCTTCCAATGTGTCTTTCAACCAAATGTGCTTGCATGTCTTTTAGGTACAAGGTACTTAAGATAGCAGCTGACATATTAATTAAAGAAGAGATACTAAGTGAAAATGATCGGTTGTCAAATCAGGTGGTTGTATGTTTGCTGCCATTTATGGTTATCAATAATGATGACATGGAATCTGCTGAGATGAAAATTGCTATATATTTATCAAAATCAGGAATCTGCTCTCTGCACCCTCTATTAAGAGGCTGGGAAGAAGGTAAAAAATTTAGTTATTTTTTAGAAAAAGTAAACAGTACAAAAGAAAGAAAATTTAAAATTTATTGTTTGTCATGTTATATGACAGTAAGGTCTTTTAAAAGTTTGCCAAGATAAAAAGTATACAGTGAGAAGGAAGCCAATTCATAGATAGACAAATTCAGAATTGGATATAAGGAAAAATAAAAAGCAAACCTTACATAAAAAATAGTAAACTGTTTGCCTAATTCTTCATATGATTCTTTGATGTTGGTGACATAAAAGCTGTCTGCATTCAATTTTACTTTACAGCTCTTGAAAATGTGATTAAAAGCACAAAGCCAGGAAAACTAACTGGTGTAGCAAATCAGAAGATGATTGAGTTGTTAGCTGATAATATAAATTTAGGAGATCCTTCTTCAATGTTAAAGATGGTAAGTATGCTGTGAAAGTCTAACCCCTGGATTTCTTTCTCATACTCTTACTAAATTCGCAGCTTTTGCTTTACTAGATTTTTCTTCAAAAAAAATTTTTTTTCATTCTTGAGTACTTGGTTTTACTTTAAACATTACAGTGTTGTTTAATAAATTCTGTGCAATGTTTGAAATCTTTAACATTTTATATATTTGTTCAATGTGGATCCATATCACACCCATAAGAATATATCCTTTTTACCATCATTTTCTCTCATTCCCATTTAAAATATTAGTATTTTTGTTATTGTTGTTAAAATAGCAAAATATAATCCCAAAGAGGAGAAAATTATCTTTGCCTTAGTAAATAAACCTTTGTAAAGGTATTAGATGTGTGATTTAAATACATTAACCAGTTGGCAAGTGCAATTATGTTCATTACAATTTCTGACATTATTCTTGTAATTACTTAGAAATCAGTGCTTAGTACTTTATAAAGGCTTTCTATTTGTCATCTCACTTTAAATGTAAAACACAATGCCTAGATAGACCTGAGTTGGAAAAATTGTTTTATGAAAGTCAGGAGCAACTAGTGATAGAGTGTGTTTATTTTTCAAGGTGGAGGATTTAATAAGCCTGGGTGAGGAGGAGTCCGTTAACCAGAAGCAGAAAGTAACGTTTCACGTGGTCATGTCTGTGCTCGTCTCTTGTTGTTCATCTTTAAAAGAAACCCACTTTCCATTTGCGATAAGAGTCTTCAGTTTGTTGCAGAAAAAAATAAAGAAGCTTGAAAGTGTCATTACTGCAGTGGTAAGGAAAGCAGAATCTCCAAAAAGTGGAATGTTGAATAAAGCAACAGCCTAGCCCATTAGTCACAGCAAAACTGGAAATCAGAGGCGAGATGTTGAGTCTCTGGATACTGGCTGGATGAAATGTGAAGCAGTCTTGGGTAGAAGTGAGATAGTCGACTAGGCACTCCCTTGCTTTTGCAGAAAGTTTAGTTGAATTATAAAATTTCAGGGTTGCAATATTTTGTATCTGATGCCTGACTCTCCTCTCTTTTATTGTCTTTATTGGATAATTACCCAAGCTACACCTAACTACCTCTAGTGATGAAGAAATTCACTTGGTGTGTTAGTGCTTGAACAAAATACTATTTCATTCCATTGTTTACTAAAAATAGATCTTTTAGGCTTTAAACAATTTTAATATTACATAGTTGTGTATCCCTCCAGCCTACTACTGTCTTTGATAGTATTACTGAGGGACATGTTTCAGCTGTTTATATTTTTACTTCATGACACATTTTGAGGTAGCAAGACTGTTTTTTTTAAATATCTGCTATATGTAAGTATTTTGTTTTTATTTGTCCTCCAAATTTTAGAGGGCTTCTCATTATAGGATTTACTAAATGAATTATATCTTTTTCACATTTACATATACCCCCAGGATTTTATAAGTTCTGATCATGGCCATTGTTAGCTAAAATTTGTAAACTTTAAAAAGAGTAAAATCTTCATATTTTGAAAAATAGCCCAGATAGTCTGTTCTTAACTTCTAATTTCTTGGTGTCTTTTGTGAAGTGTGATGACCTGAACTGTACTGGTTCTCAGTGTTAAAAGTATAGACAAATTGATTGTTTTATTATACATGTGTAGATAACAGGTTATTTTATATTGCTTTAGTTTTAATATCCTTTCTCGATGTCATGAGCATATTTTTGCCTGTAGCAGCACATTGAGTTAATCAAATCCCTCACTGGAGACGTTACATTGTAAATCTGGCTTTGGATTATTTTCCTGCTAAGTTATTACTCTGCTCTGGTTGTACAGAGTCACATTTGTCATTTTCTTACACCTGTTCTTCTGCATTCTTTTGGCATTTACAGTGTAATTTCTAAACACTGACATTTTGCTACTTGTTTAAAATCATCTGCAGGTTTGGAAATTTTACTGTGTTTACCTTATTCAGATGAGTGGTAAAACAGTGAAATGAAAGAAGTCCCTTTAACTATGTCTTGGCAATCCAACTCTTTATCTTCCTGTTTTTAAATAGGCCTATTTTGGCCAGGCACGGTAGCTCACGCCTGTAATCCCATCACTTTGGGACGCTGAGGCGGGTGGATCACTTGAGGACAGGAGTTCGAGACCAACCTGGCCAACATGGTGAAACTTCATCTCTACTAAAGATACAAAAATTAGCCAGGCATGATAGCAAATGCCTGTAATCCTACCTACTCGGGAGGCTGAAGCAGGAGAATCACTTGAACCTGGGAAGCGGAGGTTGCAGTGAGCTGAGATTGTGCCACTGCACTCCAGCCTGGGCAACAAACAGAGCCAGACCCCGTCTCAAAAAAAGAAAAAAAAGAAATATGCCTATTTATTCCTACCCTTTATTGGATAAACAGTTTATATGAGTAAAGTTTGTTTAATGTTTTAAGGTAAGACATAGATAAAATTTAACTTAACTTTGTCTTTCCTTGTGAATGGTGATAGTTAGACCTCTTTAAAAATCTGACGAAAGCAGATCTATTAATCCTTTCCCCACCAAAATATACACATAAACAAAACTTTGGCATATTTTGCAGAGGAATTCATTAACCCATGTTCAGAACCCTTAGTTTGTACTAGTTTTTGTTTCCTTTAACATTTCAGGAAATCCCCTCAGAATGGCACATTGAACTGATGTTAGACAGAGGGATACCAGCGGAGCTGTGGGCACATTATGTAGAAGAGCTCAACAGCACTCAGAGGATGGCCGTGGAGGACTCGGTTTTTCTTGTATTTTCCCTGAAAAATTTTATTTATGCACTGAAAGCTCCTAAATCTTTTCCTAAAGGTAAGATAAAAGCTGTGAATCTTTTAAATGTGATACTCTGCAAAACTGAATGATTGACTCCACAATGACTGCTTGTCTTGAATAAAAAGCTCCCGGTATGTTCACGCAGGGCTGTGCATCATTTCTCTTTCCATGTCCATGTAGGTGACATATGGTGGAATCCTGAACAACTGAAAGAAGACAGCAGGGACTATCTGCACTTGCTCATTGGGCTGTTTGAGATGATGCTCAATGGTGCTGATGCTATTCATTTCAGAGTTCTGATGAAACTTTTCATAAAGGTACAAGGCTCATCCTTTTCAGGCGTACTCTACCCTTAAAGAAGATATGGCTGGCTGAGTAAGGTGGCTCATTCCTGTAATCCCAGCACTTTGGGAGGCCGAGGCGAGTGGATCACTTGAGGTCAGGAGTTCGAGACTAGCCTGACCAACATGATGAAACCCCATTTCTACTAAAAATACAAAAATTAGCTGGGCGTGGTGGCGAGGCCTATAATCCCAGCTACTTGGAAGGCAGAAGCAGGAGAATTCGCTTGAACCCGGGGAGGCGGAGCTTGCAGTGAACCGAGATCACACCACCGCACTCTAGCCTGGGTGACAGAGTGGGACTCTGTCTCAAAAAAAAAAAGATATTGTGGGTTATTTTGGTTATGTCAGTTTATAATGTAAATGAAAGTAGACTTGTAAACAGTGAAGAGTATATAATAGTAAGCACAGGCCCTGTGAAAGAGTACGATCACGATACTAATTGGTAGGTTGAATAGAAACTTAACATTGCTACACTCCTACTAGTATGTTAGGCCCATTACTATATTTAAAAATAACAACAGCCCAGTCTTTTTGATTGGTTAATACCATTTAGAAGTGAATACTGATGTTCGAGAGGTTATTTAGCAGATGTGAAATTACTCAGGAAATTTCATCCCCAGCACCAGTGACCTCCATGTTGCCAGGCCCAGTGGTCAGTTCCTGTTCTTGCCTGACTTGTTCTCTGTACAGCATTTGACATTGAGTTGGCATTGCTAACCACATTGTTGAAGCATCTTCTTAATTAGACATCCCAGATACTGCTCTTGTCTTGGTTTTCAGTGTTTTCAAGTGCAAAGTTATAGTGAAGCTTCTGAATATCACTCTTCATTGACGTCTTCCTAGTTCATTAAAACATAGAGTATAGAATAATTTGAAATGATTAGACAAAGCAAAACATTGCCTTAAATTATTTGTTTCTTTATAATTGTACACTAGTGAAAAGAGGATTTGGAACCAACTTATTTGAGTAAGAATTAAAAGTTTGCTCTTTTTTTTGTGATTAGGTACATCTAGAAGATGTTTTTCAGTTATTCAAGTTCTGTTCTGTTTTATGGACCTATGGTTCTAGCCTTTCAAATCCACTTAACTGCAATGTGAAAACAGTGCTGCAGACTCAAGCTCTTTATGTGGGCTCTGCAGTGCTCTCTTCTCAGAAGACACAGTGTAAACACCAACTGGCATCCATATCTTCTCCAGGTATTAAAAGTAGCATTGTTATGTTTTGTCATGACCAACTGTTCATGCTTTCTTTATATGGTTTATGTAGTTTGGAAAATTATAACTTAAAAGAATAGCAGAGAGTGGGCGTAGTGCCTCATGTCTGTAATCCCAGCACTTTGGGAGGCTGAGGCAGGTGGATCATGAGATCAGGAGATCGAGACCATCCTGGCCAACATGGTGAAGCCCTGTCTGTACTAAAAATACAAAAATTAGCTGGGCATGGTGGCACATGCCCGTAATCCCAGCTACTCGGGAGGCTGAGGCAGGAGAATCGCTTGAACCAGGGAGTCGGCGGTTGCAGTGAGCTGAGATCATGCCAGTGCACTCCAGCTTGGCAACAGAGCGAGACTCCATCTCGAAAAAAAAAAATCTATAAAGCCCAGGCAAGGTGGCTCACGCTTATAGTCTCAGCACTTTGGGAGGCTAAAGCAGGAGGATCACTTGAGGCTAGGAGTTCAAGACCAACTTGGACAACGTGATGAGATCCTGCCTCTACAAAAAATACAAAAATTAGGTGGGCGTGATGGTGCGTGCCTGTAGTCCCAGCTACTCAGGTGCCTGAGGTAGGAGGATAGCTTGTGCCTGGGAAGTCAAGACTGCAGTGAGCTATAATTGCACCACCGCACTCCAAACTAGGCAACAGAGCGAGACCCTGTCTCAAAAAAAACAAAAAAAAAATTGTACATCTATACATATTTCTGGTTACTTCTAAGTGTTGCTTTTAAGGTATTAGTGTCACTTGCAAAATCTCACCAAACAGAAAAGTTTAACAATAGAAATGGCAAGTGATTATATGAGTTCTTAATAATAAGCTATTCATTTTCTGAGCTGTAGCAGCAGTAGGGTTAGATACGGAAGTCAGATCATCATAATACAAGTTAATAGTGAACTAATAAAAACAAAACCCTCCTGCATTTATCTCTTTTATCAGGCAGAAGTCATATTCAGGTTCGGCATTCTCTAATGAAATATCTATCTGAAAGTTAAGTTTTTTTATAACGTGGAATTGCAAATTTTGCAAAAGATGCAGAATTTCATGAAACAATGACTGCGATATTGAAAAGTGGGTTGGGCCGGGCGCGGTGGCTCAAGCCTGTAACCCCAGCACTTTGGGAGGCCGAGACGGGCGGATCACGAGGTCAGGAGATAGAGACCATCCGGGCTAACACGGGGAAACCCCGTCTCTACTAAAAATACCAAAAATTAGCCGGGTGTGGTGGCGGGCGCCTGTAGTCCCAGCTACTCGGGAGGCTGAGGCAGGAGAATGGCGTAAACCCGGGAGGCGGAGCTTGCAGTGAGCTGAGATCTGGCCACTGTACTCCAGCCTGAGTGACAGAGCGAGACTGTCTCAAAAAAAAAAAAAAAGAAAAAGAAAAGTGGGTTGACGCAGAGCTATTGGCATGAGGGGATGTGGCAAAATTAGATCAAAGAAGAATGGTTGAAGATGAAAAAGTTGATTAGAATAATGACATGATTGATGCTTCAAACTAGAATGTTATTAATATCAGAGGCATAAGAGTGGCCCTAAGGAAATTTGAAGATGTCCTTGGTTTTTTTTTTTTTTTTTATTCCAAAATTACTCTTTGTAAATGTTCTGTGAAAGCAAGGTAGATGATTGTATACTTTTCCCTGAACAATTTCTCAGTGTTTTTTATTAGTTCTTTGAAAGAGCACATTATTACATTTATAACCAAATTTTGTTGCATATAAAGTAAAGTAGATATGTAATTTCAAGTTTTATTTCTAAAATAAAATTCCATAAAAGTAATTTTTTTATTGACTTACAAAATTTCCATCTTCATTTTAGGTGAGTTTACTGTTAAGGTTTTTCTAGTTATATTTGGATAAAAACAACTCCCTATACATTTTTTAACTTTAATTTTTCAATTAATATGTTAGGGACATCTTTCCATATTAATAAATGGAAAAATTTATCTTTTTATAACTGCCTGCAGAGTATTCCATTGTACGGAGATAGCAATTTATTAAAATAGTTATTTTCTTCTAAACTTGTGGGTTTCCAAAAAGGTACTTATATTTTATTTAGAGATTATTTCAGTTTTCCACTTTGGTATTAAATGTTTACTGTCCTTTGACAGTGGCCTCTGAGTAATACATGTCATTTTGACTATAAGTAGCAAGATGGAAGAACTTCACTTTTCCACTGGTATTGCTGCTAGACAGGCTCCCTGCCTCCCACTGCTGCCCTGTCATCCATCTCCTCCTGCCTGCCTGATGTACTTTGCATTTATGCTGTGTACACCTGTTGCAGTACTCCTGAACACAGGAGAGATGCACCTTGTTCTGCTTGGAAGTTCAAAGACCAGACACTCGAGTGGCCTCAAGTGGAAGGCCGCTTATTGCTCATGCCCTGCGGGCTCTCCACTTGAGGGCTGCAGTGAGCTTCTAGCCCCACCTTATCTGTGAAGAGTCTAGGAATTATTGGTTGGCATCTGTTTTAATATATTTACAAAAATGTAGTGTTCATAAGTAAAACATGATATCATGTAATATAACGATGATACATAAATATGTTTATATTACTAAATTTTTGTGTTCAGAAGTAAAAGGCAATACAATGTTATATGATATTATAATCATACAATATGACATAGTAATATAACACAATATTATATGAGTTTTTGTCAGTAGCTTGGTAATCTAACCACCATTTATTATTTTCTATGCAGATATATATTATAAAAAGTCTTGCATATAGCAAGTCTTTGTTAAATAAATACAATCTATTCTTTTCTTTTTTTTTAATTTTTAAAGAGACATAGCCTCACTTTGTTGCCTAGGCTGGAGTGCAGTGGCGTGGTCTTGGCTCACTGCAACCTCCCCCTCCCAGGTTCAAGCAATTCTCTTGCCCTGTCCTCCCGAGTATCTGGGATTACAGGCACGCACCACCACACCCGGCTAATTTTTGTATTTTTAGTAGAGACGGGGTTTCACCATGGTGGCCAGGCTTGTCTTGAACTCCTGACCTCAGGTGATCCACCGCCTTGGCCTCCCAAAGTTCTGGAATGACAGGCATGAGCCACTGCGCCCAGCCAATACAAATCTATTCCTCCTGTCATTTGTGAGATTGTTGCAGTAAACTGAGGAACAGAGAGACAGATATGGGAGAATAGGAAGAATTTATTTTAGGGTACGCACCAGCTTAGCAGATTCACATCCAAAAAGCTGAGCCTCGAACAAAGACGGAGTGGGGCCTTTTATAAGCAGGCTTACAAAAGCAAAACAAGGGCTGTTAATCATACAGTGCATAACTTGGGGCCTTGCATACCTGGTGGCCTTGTAGCTGCAGCGAAAGAAAAACAAGAACTGGCTAAACACAGACATTTGTAAAACAGTCATGCTTCAGAGGCCAGGGAAAGGAGTAACAGTAAAGGAATTTGTCTTTCTCTCTTTTTTTTTTCCTTCGACCTTGCTCTAGGGGGGTGCGGGGAGTGTCTGGAGCCCATTCCTTTGGCCTTGGCTTTTCAGACACTGTTGTCTTATAGCTGTCCTTGAAGTGAGCTGCTAAGCAGAAGAAAACTTGTTTCTTTTATTTTTAACCCTTGCCTATCCTGTTACTTTTGTTGGAGTGAATGAATGCATATTTATTTTTAAATCTCTGCCTCAAGATGGGGGCTGCCTTTCATTTATTTTTTTGTGTCAAATCAATGTATTAAATCTATTTTTATGTTTAAAAGCAAACTCAAGTATTTTTTATTTTTACATAAAAACATGCTAGTGTAGATCTAGATAAAAGTAGTTGAAAGAATGAAATCACATAGACTTTTAAATGAAAGAACAAAAATCCTATAAGCTGATCATTTAAGTAAGTGGCTATAATTTTTGTTGGGTTCTAGTATCTTACTTGAACATGATAACTTTGGTAGTTGGTACTTTGAATTTGTCCTTGAATTTGGATATTGTAGAAGCTGTCCTTCACTCTTCAGGGAATATTACCAAATAGATATTTTGGCCCAAGCCTGCCCCTTGTGTGAATTAAACGTTCCAGCTATTTGTCCTTGACTTTGTTTTGTAAATTAACCATGTGAAAACCAGAAAGGATTTCCAGCTTCCATAGATGATACAGGTTGAGTGTCTCTTATCCAACGTGCTTGGGACCAAAAGTGTTTGGGACTTCAGATTTTTTCAGATTTTAGAATATTTGCGTCTACATAATGTAATATTTTGGCATTGGGACCCGGGTCTGAACACAATACATTTATGTTTTATATACACCTTTTGCACATAGCCTGAAGGTAATTTTACACAATTTTTAAAATTTTATTTTAGGAGACAGCGTCTCACTTTGTTGCCCAGGGTGTAGTGCAGTGGTGCAATCTCAGCTCATTGCAACCTCTCCCCACCCCCTCCACCCAGGCCCAAGCAGTCCTCCTACCTTAGCCTCACAAGTACACGTGCCACCACGTGCCACCATGCCCAGCTAAGTTTTTATATTTTTGGTAGAGACAGGGTTTCGCTATATTGCCTAGGCTGAGCTCCTGAGCTCAAGTGATCCACCTGCCGTGGCCTCCCAGGTGCTGGGATTATAGGTGTGAGGCACCATACCCAGCCCTGTTTCAGTTTTTAATTGCAGCCTTGAACTCCTCGGCTCAAGTCATCCTCCCATCTCAGCCTCCCTCATAGCTAGGACTATAGGCCTGCGCCACCATGCCTTACTAATTTTCTTGTTAAATTTTTTGTGGAGACGGAGTCTTGGTGATGTTGCCCAGACTAGTCTTGAACTCCTGGCCTCAAGTGATCCTCCTGCCTCAGCCTCCCAAAGTGCTGGGATTATAGGCATGAGCCTCTGCCCATCCAGTTTTATACAATATTTTTAATTTGTGCTTGAAACAAAGTTTGGGTACATTGACCCATTTTAATATCCTTTGTGGGCATGCTTGTGTGGAAGAATTTCGGTTTTGTGAAAAAGATATATTGCAGCTGCAGGGGGCTGGCTCTGTCTTTTTTTCTGTGGGGACGCTGAATAAACAGTTGTATGCCTGCATTTTCACTGCAGCCCGTCACAAGATCAGGTGTGGAATTTTCATATTGTCATATGTCATATTGGTGCTCTGAAAATTTGAGATTTTGGATTTCTGGATCAACGTTGCTCAGCCTGTATGGACTTCTTAGGCAGGTTTGAAAGCTTGTCAAACTTTATCTTAGTATTTCAGAAATGGAAAGTATAATTGATAATTTCTAGCAAAATATAAATGACTGTAGTTTGCTGCAGTAGATATGAAATAAAGCTTAAATAACTAATTACTGTAAAAGGAACTTAGGTACCTCTTTGTTCCAAAGACATCTTTTTAAAACCCCAGCGCAGTTGGTCTCACAGATGCATTCTTACCAGATCTTTGAAGCAGATTTTTTCAATGTTGTTGAACTGGGCAGGGCATAGAGAAGGGAGGCTTCCAGATTCTTCATTTAAAACTGGCATAACATTGAAAATTCTGAAAGCCTACAGACAAAAGACTATATAGGCCATGTTGCTTTGAATAATGTTATGTAAAAATCCTAAATAAAATATTTGCAAATAGGCTTTAGCAACATATTTATAAAAATCATTTACGTAGTTAGAGTTCATGCCCAGAATATAAAATTGGTTCAGTAAAAGGAACTATGTTAATATATAATTGACTATGTCAGTGAAGGACAAAACCCATAAAATGTCCAAATATTTGAAAAGGCATTAGCCAAAAATAGTAATTATTCCTAATTGGCAGCAGAATAGGAGTAACATGATCAAAAAATTCCTCAAATTAAAAGCTAGCATTTTCACTTCATAATTGGGAAAACAAAGGCATTCCTGTTAAAATCATCACTCTCATTGAACGTGATTCTAGAAGTACTAGCTGGCAGAAATAGACAAGTTTCAAATACTTATGGAATGTATGAATATAATAAAGCCGAAATCAAAGATCTGTGAGATGGTTATGTGGATTGTTAAATGGGACATCTGACTATCCATTTGGAAACATTAGAAAGTTTGACTGCAACCTCATTCCTTAGATAAAAATTTCATATGAACTAAAGATTTAATATAAACTTAGCTCTGGCATTCGACGAAAGCATGAGGTACATATGATCTCTCCCTCTAAATATAGAGATAGATACTTTCTAAATTCACACAGAGTGGGGAGGGCCTTTTTAAGCAACAGAAAAAAGTAGAAGAAAAATTTGACTCTAACATTTCTCTATCAAAAAGTAAAATCAAAACACAGCAGTCTGGGACCAAGTGTTTGCAGAGAACAATGCACAGGTGGGTGATTTTCTGTGCACGCTTGTACAAGGCTGTATGCACAGGGGTGTTTGTGGCAGCATTGTTTTGGTGGCAGAAGAATAGAAACAACTTAAACTTTACCAGTAAGGTACTGGTTTTTAAAATATGGAAAGTACATTGGAGTATACTTTACAATTAAAAAGAATGATTTGGCCGGGCATGGTGACTCACGCCTATAATCCCATCACTTTGGGAAGCCGAGGTGGGCGGATCACCTGAGGTTGGGAGTTCTAGACGAGCCTGACCAACATGGAGAAACCCCATCTCTACCAAAAATACAAAATTAGCTGGATGTGGTGGCGCGTACCTGTAGTCCCAGCTACTCAGGAGGCTGAGGCATGAGAATCACTTGAACCTGGGAGGCAGAGCTTTCATTATGTTCTCAAAGAAGCTTGTGTTACAAGCTCCAGCCTGGGCAACAAGAGCAAAACTCCAATCTCAAAAAAAAAAAAAGAATGATTATATTTGGATATGTGTGTACTTATGGAAAACAGTCCCAAGAGTTGAGATGTGTGTTATCCCAGCACTTTGGGAGGCCGAGGTGGGTGGATCACTTGAGGTCAGTAGTTGGAGACCAGCCTGGCCAATATGGTGAAACCCAGTCTCTGCTAACAATACCAAAATTAGCCAGGCGTGTGGCGTGCACCTGTAATCCCAGCTGCTGGAGAGGCTGAGGCAGGAGAATTGCTTGAACCCAGGAGGCGGAGGTTGCAGTGAGCCGAGATTGCACCATTGTACGACGTCCAGCTCAGATATGAGAGTAGTTGGTGTAGAACAGGGTTTATAGTTTGCTCTTATTTGTGTATTTTCAAAAGAATGCACCTGGTAACATGCCTAACCTTTCTCTGGAATATTAAATATTCAAACAGTGAGCAGTCTTTGGAGAGGGGGTTTGAATTCGAAGGGATTCTTTTTGTCTTTTTATCAAGTACCTTTGGTACTATGTAAATTTTGTACTGTTTCAGTTTTTAAAATTGTTTCTTAAATTTTTTTCCCCTTTGATTTTAGTGGTGACATCTTTACTCATTAACCTGGGAAGCTCCATAAAAGAAGTTCGTAGGGCTGCCATTCAATGTCTCCAGGCCCTCAGTGGAGTGGCGTCCCCCTTTCATCTCATAATAGATCATTTGATTCCTAAAGCAGAGGAGATCACTTCAGATGCTGCCTATGTTACTCAGGTAAGCTCGTTAGCAAAGAAGATTGAGTGTGTTCATGCCTGTGTGTACTCATGAGCAATTTTCTCCATTCTCGACATTTCACTGTGTAGGGGTTTTGATGGACTAAGTCACTGAATTTAGGAACTGATAGGTCATTATCTGTACATCTGTCTCCCCCTACTTTTTAAAAGATAGCAATGTCATATTTCAGTTTTGCTCTTTTCATTGGATAAAGGACTAGGGTATAGCTTTTCATAGTAAGCCAACTCTGTGTTTTTAATAACATTTCTTATTAAGGTTTTAAGGAGAAATGGAAAAGTAAGAATCTTCCATAATTAATATATTTAGCCTTTGTAGTTTCTTAACCCTTTTTTATCCAATTTCCTTTTTGGTATCTTAGGATTTGGCTACTTTATTTGAGGAACTACAGAGAGAAAAGAAACTGAAGTCTCATCAGAAGTTGTCTGAAACTTTGAAAAACTTACTTAGTTGTGTATATAGTTGCCCATCTTATATAGCAAAAGATTTGATGAAAGTACTTCAGGGAGTCAACGGTGAGGTATGTGCCGTTTAAGTGGATCGTACATTCCTGTGATGTTACTAAGGAATAGCTGTAACTGCTTGTGGGTGAGAAAGTCCATTGTAAGAGTTGCATGTGTGCGCTCAGAAGAGATAAGTGTAATATTAATTTGAGAGGGAGATGAGTTGAGGTAGAGAAAAAAAGATACAAGATACAAAAACAAGTGCTGGTGAGTTTCTTTTAATTTTAAAATTAAATGTGTTGTCCCCGTGTAATCATTGAGTTTATTTGAAATGAACTTCACAGTCTTGTGTCTCCTGGGGCTGCACTGCTAAAAGAAGCTGTTGGTTTATCTCTGTTTTTCAAGTGAAAATTCTATACAAAGGAATCTATTTGGACACGAGTCTGTGAAAATTCCAAAATCATTTGCTCGTTTGTTATATATAATTAGAGCTTTCATTATGTTCTCAAAGAAGCTTGTGTTACAAAAGAAAGCAGTTGTGAAACACTCGTTGATGTGATGGCATGTGCTGACCAACAAAAAAAGGTTGTGTCATCCCAGTGTTCCAGAAATGCCTGTGTGCTTCAGTCCTAGACTGACTGTAGGCTTAGAGAACTACAATGAGTCAAATGGATTGAAGACCATTTGATTACATTTTTTTGGTAGGAACAAACAGGTTGCATTTAGCCCCTAGTGGTCCCTGGTATAGTTTAAATTAGGAATTGACAAATTTATTGTGTAAAGGACCAGATAGGAAATATTTTATGCTTTCGGGGCCACACAGTCTCTGTTGCAGCTACTCATCTCTGCAGTTGTATCAGGAAAGCAGCCACAGACAGGATGTAAACAAATGAGCATGGCTGTGTTTCAATAAATAAAATCTACAAAAACAGGTGGTCTGTTGAATTTGACCTGCAAGCCATAATTTGCTGGCCCCTAGTTTAGCAGTTAAAGATTCACATACATAATTTGAGGTAATATTAATTATACCAAGTTGGAAGCATTGAAGGCTACATACAGTGTTTTAGGGGATGTTAAACTTTATTTTTATTCTCTAAAATTTTAGTTTGTGTTTTCTTTTCTCAAGTCTTGAGGGATGCTCACAGATTATCTTTCTGCTCATCTCTGAAGGGTTTAGAACTTTTGAGCATTACACATGAACTATCAGAAAGGACCTGAGTGCCTCAGTGTGAGTTAATAGCTGTCCCCATGTCTAAGAGTCATCATTGGGTTTTTTCCTCCAGGCTAAATTCCCATCTTCCGACAGGCTTTGAGTGTCTCTGTAGGGTGAGCAAAAACGTATCAGTATACATAACTATTTTCTTATAAGTCTTTCGATCTTTAGATGGTGCTTTCTCAGCTATTGCCTATGGCTGAACAACTGCTAGAAAAGATCCAGAAGGAGCCCACAGCTGTGCTGAAAGATGAGGCCATTGTTTTGCATCTCGCTCTGGGAAAGTATAATGAATTTTCAGCTTCCCTTTTAAATAAGGATCCAAAGAGTCTAGATATATTTATAAAAGCTGTGCACGCAACAAAGGAACTTTACGCAGGAATGCCAGCCATTCAGATCACAGCCCTTGAAAAGGTCAGTGATTTCTTTCAGAAACTAAGGCATAGCATGTTCAAGCATTTAAAGGTAGAAGGCAACAGCAACAGCATTAAAAAAAACAAAAAAACTTTAATTTATTTGGAGAAGATAGTTACAGGTGGACTAGACATGTTTTAAAGGAATATGATGTATTTGACCCATTTTTGAAAACTGAATGTTGTACATGGGTCATTAAAACGAATTGCATTTTAACCGACACAATTAAATGGGAAACAATTTTATATTTTGAGAGAGGTTGATACAAAAATTATTTCTGGAGTTTAAACTTGTTCACTGAACTCAGTTGCCTTTTTTCTACCCCCTCTAGATTACAAAACCATTTTTTGCAGCCGTATCAGATGAAAAAGTTCAGCAGAAGCTTTTAAGAATATTGTTTGATTTATTGGTGAATTGTAAAAACTCACATTGTGCTCAGACTGTCAGCAGTGTTTTTAAAGGGGTAAGCTGCAAACTTCCTGTAATTTTTTATTAATGTTTAGTGTCTTCCGAAGGACACCATGTTTAAGAGTCCTGCATTTTATAGTGCTTGTAAGAGGTCAGATGTTACCATTAACAAAAATCATGGAAAAGTGAGTCATAGAGAGGCATAAAATAAAAATTTTAAATCTTTACCATTATTTTATTTTATGAAATATTTATTGATAATTTTAACCAGATAGGGTGTGTAGGAATATGTGTGTATGTGATCTTACTCATATTACATGGAATCTACCTATTCCTTTATGCAAGGAATAGGAATGAGTGGCTCAATATTGAACGGGGTAACATTATTCTACTTAATTTAATTGTTTTAGTTTAAATGTTATGTTTTAATTTAATTCTACTTAAGTTGAATTTAGTTGTTTAATGACTTGTAATGGAATTGAAATTCTGCTTGTTGGTTTTATATGTATATTGAAACCTAGCTATTATCAGAATAGCCACCTGGTTATTCTGTTTTTTGAATATAGGATAATATAAAGTTCTAATATCTAGATTCAGCAGTTCTCAGAATTTTAACATATTTACTTAATCTTTTTTCCTTCTTTTTCTTTGCTGAAGTATTTTAAAGAAAATCTCAAAATGTCATGTGCTTTCATCCCTCTGTGCTTCAGTGTGCATCTTTTGAAAAGTGGATACGACTACAATGGCATTAGAATTTTAAAAAAATTAATAATTCCTTGATATTATCTAATACCTAGTTCATAATCATATTTCCATGGTTATCTCAAGTGTTTTTTATAGTTGTTCTCTTAATCAGAATCCAAAGATTTAGTCGTGATGTTAGAACCTTATAAAAGGAGATATCTGGATCCCACCCCACATCTAAGGAATCTCTGGGGCTATGAATCTGTTTTTGTGCGTGTGTGTATATGTCTTACTCCTGCCCAGCTGATTAGAATATACATATCTGATCCGGCACTTGGAAACCATTGGTATGGATGATTCTGTGTTGCGTTACTAGTTTTCCACTCCAAGGGATGAACGTGAAATTGAGTGACTCTGGACTGGAGAAGTGATACCATATCATGATCACGACAAGTGCAGGGCTGTAACTTGAGACTCCCAAGACAAATTATATAGAAAGCAAGTGCGTGGTAGTAGGAGAGCTTAGTTAAAATGAAAATCTGAAGATGAATTTATGTTGGCTATTGCTTTTGGTTTATACCCTTCCCTACTTTGCTTTCTTCTCATTCTGGTTTTTCAAGAGGTCTGTAACAAGGTAGTAGCATCCAGTGCTGGGTGGGTGCAGATGTATGTCCAGTAAGTCATTCTTCTCTCTTAATTGAATAAATCCTTCCTAGGGGTTAATGTCTGATTTTAGTCTTAATATTTTTAAGGAAATGTTGGAAAAATTGGAATCACAAAAAAACACATTTTTAGGAGGCTTCAAATATAGTACTAATTAAGTGCTAATTGAATTGAGCTAAGATCTAGTCCAAATGAGAACATCTTAAAGAATTTAAAGGATTATTAGAAGGAAAGTGTTAGCCCAAATTCCTCCCTCTTCTATTTGACAGTGGGCTAGGGAGCATATGAGATACTTGCTAGACATGTCATATCAGCCAGAAATAAGATTGGCCTTAAATGTCAGGCCAGTTGTACTTTGACTACAAAAATTATTTTGGTTACCAGAATACACTCGATTATATGAAACACTCTCATGGTCTGTGACAATAAATATATACCGTATGATAAATTAAGTATATACTGGTGAGAGTATAGGTATGCAAAGTACACTAAGTGAAACATACCAAGGTACAGAGCAATGTGTATAGTATGTTTCTATTTATGTTTTTTAATAGAATCTTTAGCCATTGGTATATGGAAAGTTTTTAAAAGGATGCTTAAGAAATTGTCAGTGATGTTTGCCTTTGGTGATTGGGCTGGGGTATGGAGTGGCATAAAGACATAAAAATGGATGTAAATGCTTTCGTTGTATGTCTTAATCTAACATATATTGCTCTAATTTTATCCCAATGGATTATATCATCAACTGTTCTTCCTTCAATATTTCAGATTTCCGTTAATGCTGAACAAGTCAGAATAGAACTGGAGCCACCAGATAAAGCTAAACCCTTGGGCACGGTTCAGCAAAAAAGAAGGCAAAAAATGCAGCAGAAGTAAGAGCTACAAATGCATTGAGCACTTGCTGTTGTTCCCCTGACTCGGAATGTTATGAAATCTTGGAACTTTTTGATACCCATCAATTTGCTATAATAAAGCACAATGGTTTTTACTTAGCACATGATAGGGTTTGCTTTTCCAACTTTTTGTCTTCTCCATTTTCCAGAAAATCACAAGATCTAGAATCTGTCCAGGAAGTTGGAGGTTCCTACTGGCAAAGAGTAACTCTCATCCTGGAATTACTGCAGCACAAAAAGAAGCTCAAAAGTCCTCAGATATTGGTGCCAACTCTTTTTAACTTGCTATCAAGGTAGTGACACTTGGCTTTGATCTGTGAGAGAATAGGACTCTAATTCTTGCCCATCTTATCTAACATTCTCTTTTCAACATACTCTTCTTTTGTTTAGATAGTCTGTAAAATAAAGCAAGTACTATAGGTGAAATTAAAAGATTGGTTTTAGGTATCCATTGCCAGTACCCCAAACTGACCTTAGTGTCCTGTGTCACGTAGTAAATGACCACTCACTTTACAGCCTACTTTCCTCCGAACTTTTCAGTAACATGCCTGGGGCATCATTACTTGTATTTCAAGATATAATGTTGAATTTATATAGATATAGATGTGTGTGTATATATAGTATTTGCTATCTATATTTTCATATATAGATGTATATATTTTATATAGATAGATTTGTGTGTGTGTGTATAAATTGAGTATGAATTGTAGAGTGTGCTTTCATGTGAAAGGCAAAGTAATTCTCAAGGTTGTCCTGTAAGATTCCAAATAGGTTAATAGAAAGTGCAATAGAGAGGAAGTGGAATTTGACATAGCACCTGTCTATATGAGAGAAAATCAGAGTTAGAAATCTTGTATCTTATTTCTAGACTTCATGTTTAATGGTAGTATTTTAGTTATTCCTTATTGAATATGAGTTCTGGACAATGGTCATTAATGCAGCCATGAATTGTACAACTTTTACACTTCCCATCATTTCTCTTTTGGGTGTCCTGAAGGTGTTTAGAGCCCTTGCCACAAGAGCAGGGAAATATGGAATACACCAAACAGTTAATTCTTAGTTGTCTGCTCAACATCTGCCAGAAACTCTCTCCAGATGGTGGCAAAATACCCAAAGGTAGGTACTTTTTGGAAGGAAAGGTTAGAAAAATTACCTGCTTTGAGTGTGAGTGCACCTACCACTTAGGGTTTTTGTCTTTCTCACCACTGTAGATGTTTTAGATGAGGAGAAGTTCAATGTGGAGTTGATAGTTCAGTGTGTCCGCCTTTCGGAGATGCCGCAGACCCATCACCACGCCCTTTTACTTTTGGGCACTGTGGCTGGAATATTTCCGGTAAGTGTTAATGATACAAGGTTTTAGCAGATATTTCGGAGATTTTTCTTCCACAGAAATGCACTGGCACCTATTGATTTTAAATTTAATCAATTAGGCTTTGGAATCTTCCAGCACTGGTGAGACTCAGCCCTGCCTCTTCATAGCTGGGACTCTATGAGCCAGTTGATCTTGCTAAGCTTTGGTTTCCCTTTTTATCAAGTGGGAATAATAACCTTCTTCACCGGATTGTTGGGGGAATTCAGTTGGATAATTTATGGTTAGTATTTAGCACAACACCTGTACACTATCTATCTAGTAAAACAGTGGGCATTAGTGTTATTTGGGAAAAGTTAATATCTCATTTATCTTCAAGTAATCCTCAAAATAACCTTTAACCAGTGACTTAAGAAAATTAATTTGATCACAAACTATATGATTTAAAGAAATCATGTCCCTTTTATGAAAAACATCATTTCAACATTTGTAAAGAGATTGAAACTATTTTCATATTGCGGATTTAGGTCAGAGGTTTTTAACCTGGGGTTCTCTGTGAGCTTTAGGGGGTCTTAATGTACTGAAATCATATGCAAGGTTTTATATCTATGGGGTTTTATTTCTTGTAAGAGTCTGTGCTTCTCAAAGGGGTTGATAATCCAGAATCATTAATATTTAAGAATCATTAATATTTTTTGTTTTTATTGAAATGTAGTTCAGATGCCATAAAATTCACCCATTTAATAAGTATATAGTTGATTTTAGTCTATTCACAAAGTTTGTGTAATCACCACCACGATCTACTTTAAGAGCATTTTCATCACCCCAGCAAAGAAACTCTACACCCATTAACAGTCACTCTTCCTCCCCCTCCTCCCTGCCACCACCACCACCACCACCCTGCTCCTGGCCACTAGTAATTCATTTTCTGTCTCTGTCGATGCCTGTGCTGGACGTGTCATATAAATTGAGCCATGCAGTATGTGGCCCTCTGTGTCTTGTTTCTTTTGCTTAGCATAACGTTTTTGAGGTTCATTCATGTTGAAGCTTGAATCCGTATTCCTTTTATGACTGAATAATATTGTTGTATGTGTATGCCACATTTTGTTTATCTGTTCATCGGTTGATGGACATTTGGATTGTTTCTACTTTGGGGCTATTATAAATTATGTTGCTATGAATATTCTAGACCAGGTTTTGTGTGGACACGTTTTCATATCTCCTGGGTATATATACCTAGGAGTGGAATTATTGGGTCAAATGGAATTTTTATGTTTAACTTTTGAGTAACTTGCGAGACTGTTTTCCATAGTGGCCACACCATTTTGCTTCCAGCCTGTAAAGATCCCAATTTCTTCACATCCTTGCCAGTACTTGCTATTGTCTTTTTTATCACCATTCTAGCAGGTGTGAAGTAGTATTTGTGCTTATATTCTTTTCGTATGAATTTTTTCTTCGGAGAAATGTCTTTTCAAATCCTTTGCCTGTTTTTTAATCAGGTTATTTCTCTTTTTATTGGTGAATTGTAATGAATCATCGAAATGGAAAATGTTAGCCTGAGCAGGAATATCTCTTGTGGCCAGGAGTTCAAGACCAGCCTGGGTAACATAGCAAGACCCCATCCTTATAAAAAGGAGAAAGAAGAAAAATTAGCTGGGCATGGTATTGTGCACCTGTAGTCCTAGCCACTCAGGAGGCTGAGGTGGAAGGATTGCTTGAGCTCAGGAGTCCAAGGTTACAGTGAATTATGATCACACAACTGCACCCCAGCCTGAATGACAGAGCGAGACCCTATCTCTTAAAAAAAAAAAAATTAGTAGAAATAGAAAATGTTGATAGTTATGTTTTCTTTCAGGATAAAGTTCTACACAATATCATGTCTATTTTTACATTTATGGGAGCCAATGTCATGCGCCTGGATGATACTTACAGTTTTCAGGTTATTAACAAGACGGTGAAAATGGTTATTCCTGCACTTATTCAGGTAAGCTCTCTTTTTACCATCCTGGGGTTTCTTTTTTTAATTTAAGAATTTTGCATATAAATGACATTAAAAGCCTGGTTTTTTTTTTTTTATATCCTCAACAATTGTATAAAAGCCTTTCTGAAATGCTCAGATACATTGCCCTTAAGTTTTAGAATGCTGAAGCTAAGAAGCAGTCTGGGCAATGTCTTTCCCAATAATCCAAACATGTTATAGCTGGTTCTGCTGTGCTCTGTGTGTGTACCTGTAAGTGTCTTAACATCATTTGGATGGGGTAAATTTACATCCACCATCTATTTCAGGACACTGCATCAGTTTGATAGTACCTTCTTACATGTTGATGAGAATAGGAACTTTTAGAGCTACAGTGACAAATTTGTTAACATGCAGTTTAGCAGATGTTTGCCAAGCATTAACTCAGAGAGAGAGGTGAGATGTTCTCTCTCCCAGTAAGGAATGAACAATTCAAAAGTTAAAAGTAGCCTCAAGAATAAAAGAGCTTGGTCATCTGCTTGAGTTTTCTATGTACCCTCACTTGTTAATTAATGTCTTTTTTCATGCTATTGACCATCCCAGGGATCACCATATTCAGCACCTTCTTTTAACCTTAGTATTAGATTGGTGTTCTCAGTGTCCACCAAGTTGGCAAGTATAGGATATATACCTAAAAAGAAAAATAATAATATGCATTCACATGGTCAATGCCAGTCAAGTAAATGCTAAAGAGTTCAGAATAGGAGGTAGTCCATATGGGACAGGATGACCAGAAAGTTCTGTAAGAAAATTTGAACTGGTGTGAAAGAAGATAGGATTTGTTCAGTGATGGCAGAGTCAATAGTATGAGAAAAGGCGTGATCTAGGAATGTTCACAGCGTGTTTGAAGAATGTAATGGTGATAGATGGATGGAGAGCAGAGGGTTGAGACAGGTAGACGTTGGTTTAGTCATTCATTGAAGTGTTTTCTGTCATTTATTCAACAACTGTATTTTGATCGCCAATACCTGGAATAAAATGGTTCAAACTTTATTCCGAAAGCAGCAAGAAGTTGTTGGCCTTTTCTGTGCTCTGCTTATCTTCATTCTTCTTGAGGCACAACCCAAATCCTGCGTGATTTATGCAGTGTTCCCAGGCAGCCTAAGTGAACTCGCTATCAGTGTCACGTATTTGGCATCTGCTGTTACTGCCTCCTGTTATCTTTTCACATATGTATTCTGTTTCTTTTGTTTGTTTGTTTTTTTGAGACTGAGTTTTGCTCTTGTTGCCCAGACTAGAGTGCAATGGCATGATCTCGGGTCACTGCAACCTCCGCCTCCTGGTTTCAAGTGATTCTCCTGCCTCAGCCTCCTGAGTAGCTGGGACTACAGGCAGGAACCACCACACCCAGCAATTTTGTATTTTTAGTAGAGATGGGGTTCACCATGTTGGCCTGGCTGGTCTTGAACTCCTGGCCTTAGGTGATCTGCCCACCTTGGCCTCCCAAAGTGTTGGGATTACAGGCGTGAGCCACTGCACTCGGCCATGTATCCTGTTTCATACAGAAAATAAACCTCCTTTGGGGCAGGGCTCATATCATACACTTTGTATTCCCCTCAGGGCTAAATACCACCTGGGACATGACAGGTGCTTACTGAATATTTATTGTTAGGGCTTTGATTATTAAAACTCTTGTGGCTGACTGAGTGTGGTGACATGCCCCTGTAACACCAGCACATTGGGGGCTGAGGTGGGATTATTTGAGGCCAGGAGTTTGAGATCAGCCTGGTCAACATAGCAAAAGCCTGTCTCTACAAAAATTTTTAAAAAGTGGTGGCGAGGGTTCTGGGATGTCCCACCTTCTTGGGAAGCTGGGGTAGGAGGATCGCTTTGAGCTTAGGAGATCCAGGCTACGGTGAGATATGGTCACGCCACTGCCCTTCATCTTGGGCCACGGAGAAAGACCCTGTCTCTAAAAAAATAAATAAAATTCTTCTGGTAACTTCTTGGGGCCCATCTAAAAGCCTTATCTTTTCCACCTAAAGCTTGTTTTGTGGAAGATTACTTGCACCTACTTACTGTCTCTGCTTGCTGTTTTGCAGTCTGACAGTGGAGATTCTATAGAAGTTTCAAGAAACGTTGAAGAGATCGTGGTAAAAATCATTAGTGTATTTGTGGATGCACTTCCACACGTCCCGGAGCACAGGCGCCTGCCCATCCTTGTTCAGCTTGTTGATACACTGGGTGCAAAGAAATTCCTCTGGGTTCTCCTCATCTTGCTTTTTGAACAGTATGTCACAAAAACAGTGCTGGCGGCTGCCTATGGAGAAAAGGTCAGAACCTAGGGTGGGAAGATAAGGAAAATGGTGATTTACACAGATTTTATGTTATTGTCCAGTTTAAACATGGGGCTGGTGATGCCTAATGTGTGTTATTTAGAACCTTTTTGCTCAGAACCTTTTTTAAAAAGGTTTTTGGCATTTAAAAGAATATCATTCAGAGCCCATAGCACTCTGAATATCCTCAGTTGCAGCAAAACATCTGAGGGGGAATTAGCTTTTCTGAGAAACAGATCTGGTGCCATGCAGGTGGTTCCATTTTAAGCCCAGGAGAGTATGGCTGATGAGTAATGAAACAGTGTCTCTTCAAAGTGGTTTTGAAGGCAGTTTGTGGGGAAATAGAGGAGCCTCCGTGTCCCTGAAGTTAGCAAGACACAAACACCGGTGATTGTTTGGAAAAGCCCTGTTTGGATAAGTCAAGGACCATTTTTAAATGACTTCTTAGACATGGGATCTGGGAGTAGATCTCGACCTACTCTAAATAAAGTAGTATACTCTTTTCTGCTAGAAATCCTAATGCACATTATCCTGAAATTATGCCTTCACAATTCCTAAGTACAGATTTATTACTTTTTTCTCTTTCTACACAGGATGCTATTTTAGAAGCAGACACTGAATTTTGGTTTTCAGTCTGTTGTGAGTTTAGTGTCCAGCATCAGATACAAAGCTTGATGAATATCCTCCAGTACTTACTAAAGCTGCCAGAGGAAAAAGAAGGTAAGTGTAGATCGGGTGTCACTTACCGTTCAATCTGAAAGCTAAGGAGAAACACAAGAGAATGTAGGTTATCCTTAGTACATCTTCAGAAGGATTTTTAAAGTAAGTTAATCATTTTAATTTGATTGTGTACTTTCTTGAATCCTTATGGAAAATAGTCGGAATTCCATTTGCCATTCCTCACACATTGTCTTTTATACCTCTGTGCCCTGTGCTGACATCTTGGCTGTGGAATGTTACTGGTATCCAGGATGAGTTAGGTTCAAATGACAGTAAATGATCAGGACCTCGTTAGCTGTCTCTCAGCTTCTCATTAAAATATCTGAAGACATTTACATGAAAAGAAGAAAAGTAGGTACCACAGGAGGAGTGGCAGCAAAATATTAAAATTGTACCATACAGCAGAGCCTTGAAGAAAATCCCACTAACCGCAGCACCACTGAGGCTGGCTTAGGAAAGGGTTGATGAAGCCAGGTGTGATGGCATCAGCCTGTGGTCCCAGCTACCCAGGAGAGTGAGACAGGAGGATTACTTTAGCCCAGTTCAAGACCAGCCTTAGCAACATAGTAAGACCCCATCTCTAAAAATGTTTTTTTCATTAAGAAAGGGTTGACATGTTGAAAGTTCTTAGTTTTCTGCTCTTCGAAGCAGAACAACAAGGCACGTTAGAAAGAAGGTACTCTAAGAGCTCCGCAGAGACTGTTTTCTGCATGGCCAGCCATTGGCCCTGTCATCCCTGTTTGGCCGGGCAGTGACTTGTCCTATCCTGCAGTCAGCTCAGGTTTGGCAGGGACAGACACGGGAGGTCCCTGGAGAGTATGTGGTGATGTGGGTAAGGAAGTGTCTTAGCAGTAAGTCATTCTGTAGGATAGTGGTTTTTAACACTGCACTGCCAACCCCATTTACATTAGATACATTTAATAAAGACCTCTACATCTGCAGTTGGAAGTTCGAAGACTCCTTCTGTGATATAGTCTTCTTCCATTTGATTGTCCACTTTACCTGTTTTGGTTTTTGTCTTAAACACTCGCTTCTCAGGGCCATTGGATACTTTCTTGGCAAATATACTCACGTTTTTCACTAATTTAGAAGAGGAGAAACTGGATGTAATAGATGAACAAATTTCTCTGTGAAAATGTTATCCCATTAACCATCCTTTACTTGAAAGGTCATATCTATTAATTCTGTATGAAGGATTTGGGTGAAAGTGAGTTGGGTCACTTGTTTTGTTGCTGTTTCAGAAACCATTTCCAAAGCAGTGTCTAATAAGAGTGAATCACAAGAAGAAATGCTACAGATTTTTAATGTAGAGACTCACACTAGCAAGCAACTGCGACATTTTAAATTTTTGTCAGTGTCCTTCATGTCTCAGCTCCTGTCTTCCAATAATTTTCTGAAAAAGGTAATATGTTCTTTAAATGTGTTTATAAAAAGGTAATTCTGCTGTTTCCAAGGGAACTGTGTTTTCAGTTAGTAGAAGTAGCTTGGTAAATGGCTTATGAAAATGTGAGGCATGCCTTTAAAGATAATAGAAAAAAAAGTACATTTCACTCTGAAAAACTGTTCGTCACGATCTACTGAGATTGAACATAATGTAAACTCTATGTTCAGTGGTTTCATTCTTAAGTGTTGTGTACCCACCAGAAGTATATGAACATGTACACCAAAAAAACTACAAGAATGTTTATAATATTCATAACATTCTTCGTGGTAGCACAAAGCTAGTAACAACTCAAATGTCTACCAGCAGAGTAGATAAATTGCCTGTGTTTTATTTTATTTTTTGAGACGGGTCTCACTCTGTGTCCCAGGCTGAAGTGCGGCAGAGTCATCCTGGCTCACTGCACCCTGGAACTCCTGGGCTCAAGCAGTCCTCTTGCCTCAGCCTCCCAAGTAGCTGGGACTATAGGCGTGTGCCACCTACGTCTGGCTAATTTTAAAACTTTTTTTTATAGAGACGAGTTCTCGCTATATTGTCCAGGCTGATGTCAAATTCCTGGCCTCAAGCGATCCTCCTACCTCAGACTCCCATAGTGCTAGGATTGCAGGCATGAGCCACCATGCCGAGCCTTTCTTTACCTGGATATAGTGAGTTCTGCATGTATGATTTGTGTACATCTCTGTTTTTGTATTAAACTTGTTTAAACAATGAGAGAAAAGGAAGGAAAGAAAGGAATATCATGACCAGGAATATAAAAATGGTTTGACATTAGAGTACTGCAAGGTACATTAAGTCCTATAATGCATTAACAGATGAAGAAGGGAAAACGTGATCATTTTACATTTTACAGTAAAATAATTCAGCAGATTCAATACTCATTCACAACTTAAGGAAATCCTCTCAGCAGTGCAGGATAGATGGGAATTACTCTGGCCTAATAAAGGTGACAGTCTGAAGCTTGCGGTTTATATCATACCTAATGATGAAATATTAATGGTGTGCCTGCTGCAGTCAGGGACAAGAATGCCCCCTGTCATTGTTTCTATTCAGGGAAAGAAATGAAGTGTAAGAAACAGGAAAGAGGAGAATCAGCAATTAGAACTCATAATGAGTTCATAAGCTTGCTTGAGATCAGTGTAGACACTATCTAGAGATAAGTATAGGTCGTGATCTGTATCAAGTAAGCTGGCTGAACTAATTAGTCTCACACACCGTTACTAATATTATTCCTCAAATTAGAAAACAGAGTAGATAAAAAAGATTTCCTGTATAATAAAAACATAAAAAAACGTAAACTTATAAGGTACCAAGAACAAGCCTGACAAAAATATGTGCACAAATATTATGGAGGAATGTCCGAGATATGAAGGGACACAGAAGAAAACTTGGAAGAAATGGAAAGAGAGACACTGTTTACGCATAAGAAGCCTCGCTATTTAAAGATGGCAGATCTGCCCAGATTAGTCTAGAAACTTAATGTGCTTTTTCAATTATATCATTTTAAGAAATTATATTGATACATTGATACCAAACTGTAAGGGGCCAAGGACAGGGGTATGGTGCAGGAGTACCATCTGATACCATACCATACCATCTGATACCATACCATACCATCTGATACCATACCATACATCTGATACCATACTATACCATCTGATATTATACCATACCATCTGATACCATACCATACCATCGGATACCATACCATACATCTGATACCATACCATACCATCGGATACATACCACCCCACACATCTGATACCCGCCACCATACCATCTGATACCATACCATACCATCTGATACCATACTATACCATCTGATACCATACTATACATCTGATACCATACTATACCATCTGATACCATACCATACATCTGATACCATACCATACCATCTGATACCATACCATCACGTCTGATGCCATACCATACCATCTGATACCATACTATACATCTGATACCACACCGCACCATCTGATATACCACACCATACCATCTGATACCATACCATACATCTGATACCGTACCATACATCTGATACCATACTATACCTGATACCATACCATACCATCTGATACCATACCATACCATCTGATACCATACCATACATCTGATACCATACCATACCATCTGATACCGTACCATACCATCTGATACCGTACTATACCATCTGATACCATACCATCCATCTGGTACCATACCATACCATCTGATACCATACCATACATCTGATACCATACCATACCATCTGATACCATACCATACCATCTGATACCATACCATACATCTGATACCATACCATACCATCGATACCGTACCATACCATCGATGCATTACCATACAGTACCATACCATCTGATACCGTACCATACATCTGATACCGTACTATACCATCTGATACCATACCATCCATCTGGTACCATACTATACCATCTGGTACCATACCATACATCTGGTACCATACTATACCATCTGGTACCATACCATCTGATACCATACCATACCATCTGATACCGTACCATACCATCTGATACTGTACCATACATCTGATACCGTACCATACCATCTGATACCGTACCGTACCATCTGATACCGTACCATACCTCTGATACCGTACCATACCGTCTGATACCGTACCATACCATCTGATACCGTACCATACCGTCTGATACCGTACCATACATCTGATACCGTACTATACTGTCTGATACCGTACCATACCGTCTGGTACCGTACCATACCGTCTGGTACCGTACCATACCATCTGATGATGGACCAATGCGACTGAACAGTACGCCCAGAAACACATGCAGGCATAGGTAAGAAGTGCAGTAGGTGGTTTTACAAAGCAGTTGGGGGAGAGAATGGTTGAAGTGCTGGCCCTGGCATGATTTGTTTTCCATTTGGGGAAAAGTCTGATGTCACACCTTATAGAAAAGACAACTTTAGTCAGAGTAAAACTTCATTGTGAAAAACAACAGTTCAGATGTTTAGAAGAAAATCAAGGAGAACATGATCGTGACTGGAGGATAGAAAAGAATTTCTTTAAAATTTTGATTCACTAGAAAGCCACAGCCTAAGAGAAGATTATTGCTCTGCATAAATCAAAAAACATCAGTTTCCATGAGAACAACTGGCAAAGAATATGAATTCACTGAAGAGGGATCACAAATGGCCAATTAATGTACAATGTCATTTAGCCTCTCCAGTAAGCAGGAAATATGATTAAATGTGATACTCATCAAATTGGCAAAACTGTTGAAGTTGTTGATCCCAGGGAGTGGGTAGGTAGTGGCAGACAGCGTGATTGTTCCAACCACTTTGGAAAGCAGTTGGCAGGATCCCATGAGGTTGAAAGTTCTGGTAATTCCTACGATCTGGTCATTCCTTTCCTTAGGCATAGATGCTGTAAAAACTTGCCTAGATGCTCAAAGGGACATAAAAATGTTCTTCTCTAGCATTACTAATAAAAGGGGAAAAAAAGGGACATAAACTGAACATCTGGCAACAGAGGCAAATGGATAGATAAGTTGTATTTATAGAGGAATATCGTATGCAGTTAAAATGAATGAACTAGAACATAAGTCACCATGCATAGATCTCAAAAATATGTTTCCAGAAAAACATGTTGTTCCATGATATGTACTGTTTGAAACATTTGGTAGCAGATTTGGGATGATGGTTGTGTTTGTGGGACTTGGGTAATGGGAGAATAGGACCAAGGAGCAGTACTTGGGGGATTCCAGCTGAAATCTGTAATGTTTAACTTCTCAACCAATGATATGCGCGCTCACCAGATCGGCATGTCATAGAATTTGGTAGCAGTAAATCAGTGTTGATTGCTGTATTTTTCTGAACCATTGTAGTACTTTTTAGATACTACCACTAGAATGTAATTAAATTAAGATAAATAGAGTTACTACAGTATAATGAGGATGATATGAACCTGATTAAATTGTAATGTCAGAAAAAGTTGCTATGGAAAGTTTGAGTGAATGGTCCAAGTTTCATTGAACTGACTTGAAATGACTTTTATTATCAACTTTTATATTCTAATGACATCTTCTTTAAAAATTAGGTAGTTGAGAGTGGTGGTCCTGAGATTTTAAAAGGCCTTGAAGAGAGGTATGTTTACTTTTCTTTTTTTGCTTTTTATTTGGAAATAACTTCAAACTTATAGAAAACCTGGAAAAATAGTACAGAAAATTCATATACTCTTTACAACCAGGTTCACTTTTGCCACATTTACCTTAGTGTTCTTGCTACGTAGGGTTTTTTTCTCTGAGCCATGTGAAGGTAAGTCATATATATTATGTCTCTAAGAACAAGAGATGTTCTTATAAAACCACAGTACATTGATCAAATTCAGAAAATTTAACATTGGCCCAATCCAGTGATGTAATCTACAGTTCCTATTCCAGTCTCCCGAATTATCCCAGCACTGTCCTTTACAGCGCATGCGTTTCTGCTTCACAATCCATGTCAAGTTTCGGTATCGTATTGAGTTGCCATATCTGTTTAGTGTCTTTTCATCTGGCCCTGATTTCTGTGGGCTCATGAATTCTTTATTCCGTGGATTATAATCCGTATGTTGCCATTATATATTTGGGTGCAGGAATTTTCCTTTCACTCCCATGTCCTCGGAGGGGGTGCCTCCTGGCCTTGCTGTGTACCTCCTTTTCAGATGCAGGGCGTTCCCAGGGCCACTGTCCTGCCCTGTCTGCTGGAAAGTGCCTGCCCTGTAGTCAGGATTGTGAGCTGCTGAGCTCCAGTCCTGTGGGCCGACTTTTAGCGCTATGTGTAGGACTTTCGTTTTTGGAGCTGATTTTGTCTGAGCCCCCTTCTCCCCTCCTCTGCTGTACTGTGTCAACTTCTGTCTCCACTCTTCCCTCTAGCTCCCACCTCAGGCTGGCAGCAGTAGGGGGATCTCCAGTGGTAGTTTTGTTGGAATTTGATGTGTGCTTTTCTAATTACAGGTTATTTGAAGTTTATAGTCTTTTTTTTTTTTTTTTTTGGTCTCCTAATAATGTGAAAGAAGTGGGTTATATGTTCATTTGTATTAATATTTCTCTTTATACAAATGGTGTATGCGTGTGTGTGCATGTGTGTGTGTGCGCACACCTGCCATTAACCTAGGGCCATAATTCCCTGAACACCCCACTTGGACAGCACAGTGAGACCCACTGAGCATGAGCTAGATATGAGTGAGTTCCTTAAACGCTTTCAGCATCTGTTGTTTATTCCTCACCTCGCAGAGTCTGAGCGAGGACGATGCTTCTGCACAGAAGTGCCTAGTTACTTCTTGATGATCTCTGTCTATGGCAGTAATCCCTCATTTCCTTTCTTTCCGAGTAGTTTTTGAAATAATTTAGTACAGAATTATTTAATTGGTCTTTCTACTTGAAACATTTAGCATGAGATAGACATGAGCGAGTTCTCTGAATGCCTTCAGCTGCTGTTTGCTGAGCGAGGCTCTGTGTTTCAGGTTGCTGGAGACTGTTCTCGGCTATATCAATGCTGTTGCACAGTCCATGGAAAGGAACGCAGACAAACTCACTGTGAAGTTCTGGCGTGCGCTCCTTAGTAAAGCTTACGACCTGTTAGACAAGGTAGGTTTTCATTTCTCCCTGGAATTAATTGTTTTGTTGCTATTTTTTGTATTACTGTGAAATCATTTAAAGTTTTTAAGAAAAAACTTAGCAATTCCTTTTATGAATATAACGAAGCTCAGATTTTTCTTAGAAAATAATCTCTTGATGACTAGAAATAAATTTGTCTGGAAAAAATTGTTTCCCTACCAGTTATGAGAATATGTACCTCATATATTTTAAAAATTAAGTCATGTAATATATAATGTTCTACTTTATTCAAGTGGAACACAATAAAAATATGAAATATGTTACATACATATCACTGGCCTTGAAATTAGAATTGCTAACTCAAATCTAGCTAAATGATTTAGCTTCATGCCTTTGACACTTCCTCCTGACATCAAGCTTTTGTTTTGTTTGATAATATGTGGTTAGTAATGCCTACCTGAAAGGTTACTTTAAGAATTAAATAAGAAAATGTGTGTGAAAGTGCCTGGTGCCTGGAGGTGTGCAATGGACAGCAGTCTGTCTTAACTGAAGTTGATCTTTTTTTTATTTTTTTTTTCTTATGTTAAATATAAAACTTCTCTTTAGGTCAATGCCTTGCTGCCCACAGAGACATTCATTCCTGTGATCAGAGGGCTGGTGGGCAATCGCCTGCCATCTGTTCGGCGGAAAGCGCTGGACCTTTTGAATAACAAGCTACAACAGAATATATCCTGGAAGAAGACAATAGTGAGTGAAGACCCAGGACACACCCATTTACTTTGCTTTATCAAGGAGCTGCATTTAACTCCCTTCAGTTTCTCTAGTGGTACAATTTCAGATTGAAGTATATTATTATCTGAATATAATACCATGACATGTTTTAAAATGTGATGTTAATTCTAATGGGAATACGTGTGTGTTGTAAGAGCTCTTAGAATGAAATTTCAGCCTAGTAGAATTCTTACTACACAGCTTACGTGGCCTTAGCCTTAGCATAATTCTAAGTCCCTTTTACTCCAAATTGTCTACATGAAAAACTGGTTAGAACATGCATTTTGCTTACCATGACTGTGTGACTCAGGACCCCCGAGTCTGATTTCCATTTGGACAGTCTCAAGCTGTGACAATGGGAAAAATGGACAAACATTTTTTGCAGCTTTAATGATTTGGGGATTCTGGCTGTCCCCTTCAGGTTACCCGTTTCCTAAAACTGGTTCCAGACCTTTTGGCCATTGTGCAGCGTAAGAAAAAGGAAGGGGAAGAAGAACAAGCAATCAACAGGCAGACAGCATTGTATACCTTAAAGCTTTTATGCAAGAATTTTGGTGCAGAAAATCCAGATCCTTTTGTCCCAGTGCTGAGCACTGCTGTGAAACTGATTGCTCCAGAGAGAAAGGAGGAGAAGAACGTCTTGGGAAGCGCGCTGCTGTGCGTAGCAGAGGTGACCTCCACCCTGGAGGCGCTGGCCATCCCCCAGCTTCCCAGGTATGGGCCAGAGACTTAAACAGGAGCTGTTACCGCCTGGCACACACTGAAAAATAACACCTTGGTGTCTTTTTTCTTTCTCCTCTGAGTAGACGTTGCTTAAAATTGGATTTGTTAAAGAATTGATCTTGCAGGGTGTGGTGGCTCAAGGCTGTGATCCCAGCACTTTGGGAGGCCAAGGCAGGGAGACCGTTTGAGCCCAGGAGTGTGATGCTATAGTAAGCTATGACTGCACCACTACACTGTAGCCTGGGCAACAGAGTGAGACCCTGTCTCTTAAAAAAATAATAAAAATAATTAATCTTCAAACGGAAAGACAGCCTTCCCATTATCTTCAGATGCACTGCTTTGTGATGTTAATCGTCCCCCATTCTTCCTTCCTTTTATCTAGCATAGTCAAAAAGCAATGGGTGAACGTTCTCGGCAGAGGCGCCCACCCAGTTAGGCAAGGCCAAAGCTGCCTTCTGTTGCCAAATTTGGAAGTTAGAAGCTCCTGGCTGCGGTAGTTCCTTACTGTACACAGCCAGTATGTTCCTTAACCTGTTAGAGCTTTACTGTCTGTAAAACAGAGACAGTATCTACCTCATAGGATTTCTGTAGGGCAGTGCTTGCAAGGAGTTTTGCATAGTGCCTGAAACATAGTAAGTGTTCAGTTAATGAAAGCCATTGTTAATTTTTAAATTACTGTTGTGTCCGTACTGTTGGCCCTGGGAGATCTCTTGTGCTTAGCCACATAAAATGTGTAGACAGCGCTTTTTAGGCTGTGAGGTAGATAGAGATATGAGGGAACAGGCAGTTTGTTGTTGTTTTCCCAATGCCTCTGCTGCATTCCCTAGCCTCCGTTTCTGCTTTCAGTTCCTCTAAAGCTCTTACTCCGTTTCTAGCCTAATGCCCTCGTTACTGACAACAATGAAGAACACCAGCGAGCTGGTCTCCAGCGAGGTCTACCTGCTCAGTGCCTTGGCCGCCCTGCAGAAGGTTGTGGAGACTCTCCCGCACTTCATCAGCCCCTACCTGGAAGGCATTCTCTCCCAGGTGAGCCACGATGACCCTGACCGCTACGCAGGGTGGGTGGGGCAAGTAAAAGATCACAGATTTCGTGGTTGTTTTTTCTTTAAGGGTTAGTTTCTGTTTGACAGAAAGGAGTCTTATTTCTGAAGAGATGTGCTTGCTTTTATTAAATGTGGATTTTTTTCTCTTCCATCCTCCTTGCCGCTTAATCTTGAAATTGATATGGGGGTCACTTTTTAGTGAGGCGCTTCTCTTCTTTAATTGTGCGAAATGTATTCTGGTTTTTTTTTCTTCTGTGAGATATTTGGAGTTGGGCTGATAGAGCCGCCTTTTATTACTTGTGGAAATTGGTGGGCCCTGTTTCTACTGTGATGAAGGGGTGGCCTGCCCCTCCACACCTGTGGGCGTTTCTTGTTAGGTGGAACGAGAGACTTGAGAAAAGAAATGAGACACAGAGACAAAGTATAGAGAAAGAAAAAGTGGGCCCAGGGGACCCGCGCTCAGCATACAGAGGACCCACGCCGGCACCGGTCTCTGAGTTCCCCTAGTATTTATTGATGATTATCTTTACCATCTTAAAGATAAGGGAGTGGCAGGACAATAGGATCATTTTAGGGAGAAAATTAGCAGTAAGACATATGGACAAAGATCTCTGTGACATGAATAAGTTCAAAGGAAAATGCTGTGCCTTGATATGCATATGTAAACATCTCCACAAACCTCTTAGCAGCATTGCGCCAGCAAGTCCCACCTTATGCCATAAGGCGGTTTTCTCCTATCTCAGTAAACAGAGCATACAATCGGGTCTCACACCGAGATGTTCCATTGCCCAGGACGGGCAGGATTTTTAACCAGCAAGCTGCCTTCAGGCACTTGTTTAACAAAGACACATCCTGCACAGCCCAAAATCCATTAAACCTTGAGTCACCACAGCACATGTCTCTTGCAAGGACCAGGTTGGGGGTAGGGTCACAGATTAACAGCATCTCAAATACAGAACAAATGGAGTCTCTTATGTCTACTTCTTTCTGTATAGACACAGTAACAGGCTGATCTCTCTCTCTTTTCCCCACACTGTGAGAGGTTTAATCCGAAGGCATCTTGCAAAGCAGAATTTTTGTATTGCGGGTCAGCAGTTTCCTGTCAACACGCTAGGGGCCAGTGGTATTTCTGATTGAAAATGCTCAAGAATGTTGAGCCCTGGCTGTTCCATTGTGTTGATCGTTTGCCATTTACAAGGTTAGGAGCCTTCATTACAATGGGCAAATGATTAAACCGGTTCACATACACCACAGCCAGGGCTTACAAGTAACCTTCTCAGCCTGTGCTCTGAGGAGCTTTCTTGGTTTTTTAGCAACTTGACTCTTGCCATGGTCTCTTGCATTCCTGTCCTCTAACGAAATCATCTGTCTGGGTGCTCTGTGTGCGTCTGCCTCTACCACTGGCCTTCGTCCCTGATCGCAAGTTGGGCAAGAGGTATCTGCCCAGTTTTATCCACTGATGTTTAGGGCTGGCTTTAAAAGGAACACTGAGTGTAGTGAAAAGGTGCTAAGCATTTTCGAAACACTAGTACATCATCATGAAGCCTTTCTCTAAGTGTGTGTTTGTCAGTGAGGATCTGCAATGGCCCTGATCACTTTTTTTATATTCCTGTAGGTGATTCACTTGGAGAAAATCACTAGTGAAGTGGGTTCTGCCTCCTCACAGGCTAATATCCGTCTCACATCTCTGAAAAAGACACTGGCTACCACACTCGCACCCCGAGTCCTGTTGCCCGCCATCAGAAAAACTTACAAGCAGATCGAGAAGAACTGGAAGGTTAGATCATATTGGGTATTAAGACTTTGGAGAAGGGAGAGGTGGTACTGAAATGTGTAAACTTTGACTTAAAGAAGAATATGTTTATTTAATTTTGAAAAATGCACATTGCTGAACTCTAGGAATCATTTGAAAATGGCACATCTCTTTACTGTGTTATTGGTAGAATCACATGGGTCCGTTTATGAGCATCTTGCAGGAGCATATTGGGGTGATGAAGAAGGAAGAGCTCACCTCCCATCAGTCTCAGCTAACCGCCTTTTTCCTGGAGGCCCTGGACTTCCGAGCCCAGCACTCTGAGGTAAGCTCAGGTTCACTCCTCCAAATCCTAAAGTTGTTATCCACCTATTGAAGAGTCCAAGGACAATCTGTCTAGCTGTGTAACAGTGGTACTTGCCAACATAATTTACAGTTAGATATCAGCACTCTAATAAATGGGCTCTTCTGTTTTCAGAATGATCTGGAGGAAGTTGGAAAAACAGAAAATTGTATCATTGACTGTCTAGTAGCCATGGTTGTCAAGCTTTCCGAGGTCACATTCCGACCCCTGTTCTTCAAGGTGATGCTTTCTTCCTCTTCCTCTCTTTTGTGCTCAGATTTAAGTGACAAGATGTTGAAGAAACTAATACTATCTTATCCTTTTAGCTGTTTGATTGGGCTAAAACAGAAGATGCCCCAAAGGACAGGTTGTTGACATTTTACAACTTGGCAGATTGCATTGCTGAAAAGCTGAAAGGGCTTTTTACGCTGTTTGCCGGCCACTTAGTGAAGCCTTTTGCTGACACCTTGAACCAGGTGAACATCTCCAAAACAGGTGGGTAGTTGCTTCAGTTCAGTTGTCGCTCTGTGTGCCTTATACAAGGTACCAGTAAGATACAACCTAGTGCTCGGAGACAAGATTTTAAAAGTTCTTAAGTTCTAAGCTGAGGAGGGTGAATTTTTTACTTCATTGTTGTCAGACAGTGAAGTGTTGTTTTAGCATGATGAACAAATGTTATATGTCAACTCACTTGGGAGAAAGGATAAAGTAAATGGCCATTGCTGTCAGTTACTGGAAGCAACTTTAAAACATAAAAATTAAGATTCGTTTATTCTCTGATGCTAATAAATGACCCACTTGACAGCTGAGGGAATTTAACTTGCCAAACCGAGTGTTAGCATCTTAACTCTAAAAGAAGGAATCATTCTTCAAGAGACCATCCTTTTTGTGTTCTACTTTCATCCTGATGATGATTTCTAGATCATTTTAGACTCTTCTGATTATAGTTATTTTAATAGTGATTTCAGTGTAAACATTGGAGGTTAAATGGTTAAGTTCAGTGTTTTTTCATTTTTACTCTTCCCACATCTACAGATGAAGCATTTTTTGACTCTGAAAATGACCCTGAAAAGTGCTGCTTGCTGTTGCAGTTTATTTTGAACTGTTTATACAAAATCTTCCTTTTTGATACCCAGCATTTTATAAGTAAAGAGAGAGCAGAAGCCTTGATGATGCCTCTGGTGGATCAGGTAATTGAACAGAATCATCTTTCGTTACTGAGGAAGCCATCACTGTTCGAGCTTGGAGGTTTTAGATCTGCTCGAATGACAGCTTGTTAGGCTTTTTCCTTTGTAAGGTGTTTTTTTTTTTTTTTTTTTTTTTGGTCTCATTAAATGAAATTTTTTATTTGAAAATTGTTTTTTCAAAGATATAACTTCATTGTGGAATTTGAGTTTTTTGTTTTGTTGTTTTGTTTTTTTGAGACAGGACAGGGTATTGCTCTGTCACCCAGGCTGGAGTGCAGTATGCAATCTCAGCTCACTGCACTTCCACCTCCCAGGTTCAAGCAATTCTTGTGCTTCAGCCTCCTGAATGGCTGAGATTACAGGCGCCTGCCTCCATACCTGGCTAATTTTTGTATTTTTAGTAGAGATGGGGTTTTGCCGTGTTGGCCAGGCTGGTCTCGAACTCCTGACCTCAAGTGATCTGCCCACCTTGGCCTCCCAGAGTGTTGGGATTACAGGCGTGAACCACCGTGTCTGGCCCTGAGTTGTTTTTTGGGTTGTTTGTTTAACTGCTCAAAAGAAAGACATGATATAAGGTGTCATGGTTAATGTATTCATTTGTTTTAACTGGGCCTCATTGAGAATGCGTCAGAGCATGGCTGCCCTCTGGAGGAAAGAGCTCCTCCAAGATGTTCTCCTGGAGAGAAAGGGGCGACAGTAGAGGGTATGAAACTCCATTTGAGTTCCAGAAGGCAATATATTTGCCCTAGATGGTATTAGAATAATGCCTGGTTTTTGAACCTGCTATATCATGAAAGATAGTAAACTATGTGTATGTTGGGTATTTTTTCAAACAGAAGAAAGAAATAAGACCTGTTGTTCAAAGTCTTTGTGTCTTCATAGCTGGAAAACAGGCTTGGGGGAGAAGAGAAATTCCAGGAACGGGTGACAAAGCAGCTGATACCGTGCATCGCGCAGTTTTCGGTGGCCATGGCGGATGACTCTCTCTGGAAACCACTGAACTACCAGATTCTGCTAAAGACCAGAGATGCCTCGCCTAAGGTTAGGAACTGGGTGACAAGTACTGACACACTGCATGGCCTAAACAGCCTGCAGGTGGTCACAGATGCAGGCCCCTGGTAAACCGGCAGGAAAGAACATTGCTATTTGTCATCCAGTACCAGAGGTCCGGTCTTTTGTATTAGGCAGAAATTTGTGCCTAAGAAAATTTTGGTTTTTACTTATAGGCTATTTGTAAAGAATAGCAATGCCCTTATCCCCACCCCAATGGTGCATTGGGCAGAAGTACTAAAATACTTTCTAAATACTTTTAAATAACAAAGACTTGAAGTAATTCCTTTTTAAGTGCCATTGAAATGTCATTGTGCTCCAGAGAGAGATGCATTGAATTTGTCCACAGAATAGTCTTTTGAGTTAGCGCAATACCTTCTATTGTTTATAGATACTAGGTTTATGATCTTGTTGAGTAAGTGGTGGCAGTGGAAACAAAATATGGGTGGGTAGGTTGAGTGTAAGTCAAAATTCCACACCCAAGTGTCACAAATTTCAAACTGTTTTTGCAATGAGTCGCCATTTCTCAAGCTAATGACTGTATTAGAACCTTACTGGATATAACAGCCCAAAGCAGAATTTTATTAAGAGGATTTATTAGTTCAAATTCTTTATTAGGATGTGCTAACAATGAGACTATTTTCATGAACCCCCACGTTTTAAACCATAGGTTTTTATACAAGTAGCAGTGTCAAATTTATTGTAATATTTTGATTGCACAAATCAAGGAAATCCTGATTGAATCTAGGTAGTTACAACTGGTTTTTTAATAACTCACTTTGTACTATCCAGATATTCTTTAAAATATCCAAAATTAGAAGACCAGTAGGGCTTTTGTTTCAAAAGCTAACAATACCCAACTACTGCTTGCTTTCCTTATCATAGACAAGGCATGTGAGGAACACCCAGACATTTTTAAAGCCCCAAAACTAGGACATTGTGTCACAGAATGTTTTTTATTCAGTGCTGAGATGGGCACTTTCCCCAAGCGAGTGTCCTGGCCCCTCATACAACTATGGTGGTCACCACAGTCGAGGCTGTGGGTGGGGAGACCCGCCAGAGGCGGCTAGAGGCACTGTATTGGCAGCCTGGTGGGCTGGCGAGCTCCAGTGAAATAAAATTTGCAACACACTTGAGTTTGCATGAGGCATTTTATTTTATTGGTTTTTTTTTTCAAAGGAAGAGATTATAAAAAGACATTTCACATTAAAGATTTGCAGCTGTGGGACACGGTTTGGAAAACACTGATTTATAAGGTTATGCATATTACAAATAGCTCCCAAATGGTTAAACTGGTATTCTAAGATGAAAGCTGAATGAGGTGAATAAATGCACGTGAACTAATGTTTAGTTTAGAAAGTTAGAGTTTGTCTCAAGTCAGTACAGATCTTAAGATAATACCGTAACACTACCTTTTATTTCTTTGCTCTTTTATCCCTTTCAGGTTCGATTTGCTGCTTTGATTACTGTGTTAGCACTGGCTGAAAAACTAAAGGAGAATTATATTGTCTTGCTACCAGAATCCATTCCTTTCTTAGCAGAGTTGATGGAAGGTAATTCCCAAACTATTCCCAACTATTAAACAATTAAGGAATAATTCAGTAAAATTCTGTGAAAATGTGCCCAATGATAATGCAGATTTGGATATAACATGACTAGCAGTTGATCCAGTCCTCATACAGGCAGCTCCAGTCTCAAATACAGGCAGGCTCGAGTTCCTGTTTTGAGTTGGGTGGAGGGAGCGAGTTGTGAAGTGACCACCTCGTGATCATTTGAGAGTTCGTTTACAGTGTGATCTTCACCGTCTTTACTTTTGTGGTGTTTTGTGATCATACAAGCAGATTACAATAGTGTTTTTAATTAACCTCGTACATTTATATGATTGAAGTTTTGGTCCCCAGATGGGAGGTTATTTAATGGAAAGGCCTAGTGGCATTAAGGATGCAGTAGGATGTCCACTTTTAGTAGCAAGCGACTTTCCTTCACTACTCCATGTTAGGTGCTTTACATGGATTATTTCACTTAAAAATCACATTTTATCTCTGTTTTACAAAGGAAGAAACTAGAGGCTTAAAAGGTTTCAATTATTTGACAAAGATCACAAGCTTGTGTGACATGGGGAGCTATGACAGTTCTAGAACATAGAGTCTTAGGCCCAGGAAATAACAGTAAATGTTATTAAGGGAGGGGTGGTGGAGCAAGTAGATCAGTACTGAACTGATTCACTGCTTATCTAAGCTAAAAAAGTACATTCTCCTTTGTTTCTTAGCTCCTGGAGGGGGGAAGTGTGAGCTACTAAAGGGGTGGCATCCCTAGGAAGTTTGAGTTTTTGGGGTTCTTATTCAGCTTCCAGGGCAAGCCTGTGGGGAGGGAATGAAGGCAGAAGGAGCAGTGTGGAGGGAGGCGGTCCGTGGTGCCCCCTGCTTTGTTAATGTGCTTCATTTCACTCTTGATTGAACGATTGCCAGAGAATGTAAGACATTAAGATTCAACTAATGAGAACTGAGGCAGGCAGACGGACTCAGATTTTAATTTTGATGATTTTTTTTTTTTTTTAGATGAATGTGAAGAAGTAGAACATCAGTGCCAAAAGACTATTCAGCAACTGGAAACTGTCCTGGGAGAGCCGCTCCAGAGCTATTTCTAAGACTTTCTGTGGTGTTTCATACTCTACTCAGAGTTCTGATTTTTCATATTTTTATGTTTGGGTGTTGGGTGCCATGTTACTTTTGGTGCCTTAATACACCTACGTGGTACTTAACAAATGTTTTATCACTTCTTTACAAAATTCTCACCTGGTTTATGCTACCACATAAGCCTCTCCTGCCTATTGTATAGAGCTTCAGAAAGAGTAAATGATACATGATATTTTTATACAGACTGATGTGTGTGTTTAAACATTTATTCTCTTCCTGATTGATGGTAATATCAGACCTGTTTACTTTTAGCACCCAAAGCAGACGCCTCATTTGCACTGTAAGCCTTAACTCTTCTGTACAGCAGTGTCTTATATACATGGTATCTGTGTTGCAGATTTCACTCCAAGTTGCTCTCTACTTGAAGAAAATGAAGTTATTTAGCAATCAACAGAAATACTTTTGACCGTAAAGCCTACTTATCATTTTGGGTAGGCGAACTTCAGCCTTCATTTCTTGTGCCTATAAGGAGAAGTGGTTCTGGAATGCTTTTTTTTTTAACCCAGAAGTGTGACTGTCACCTTTATCCTTTATTCTTCTGGGAAACAGGGGAGATGGAGGCAATACGCTGCTTCTAAAGCAGCTCACACCTGGCTGCTCACACAGAGGGCCCAGAAACACTGGGTGGCACAAGGAAGCTCCTCCCGGATTAAGAATGAACCCAATTCCATTGGTGGTTAACTAAGAAGTACTTGTCTAAGACAGTATCAGTAGATTTTTTTCAGTGCTTTCAAGTGCCCTAATCTCTAGTACTGGGTCATGGTGAGGTTGGAAAGTGAGGGCTCAAATAAAATTAAATCTGCCCCCTTTTAAAGGCATCAAGCACAGTCCCATGGAATGTTCGCATTGAGTTTAAAAGCCTTTGAAACTAATATAGAAGTTTAATGCAGAAATGGGGCAAGCAAAAGGTCAACTTGCAGTGTAGAGACAGAGCTTGCTCGCATAGAATTGCGTATTTCTAAGAAATGTCTCAATAAAATTCATTAATAAATACTAATAGCTTTTTAAATTTTTTACTCCACATAAAATGAAAATGAACTTAAGACTTATAAGGAATGATGTGAGTGGGCTATTTTTTTCCCAAATGCCTCACAGTCTCCAAAGCTCGGTTAAGCACCTTGATGGTCTTTATGAAAAAAATAACTCTGGAGGATTCTGGAGTCTTCTTGCCTTCTACAGCTTTCCCTGTGGCACCCCCCACCCCCAGCCAGTGTCTTTGAGCTTGGTGAGACTCTGCATAAATTAACATGAAAAGCTGAAAAAGAATTAAGGGCTAGCAATTGCTACACTGAGTACTTTTTAAAAAATAAGATTGACAATGGTATTCTTTTCCATATATGGATAGAAATAATATCTAACTGAAATCTGTTCTGAAAATATTCCTAAATCCTGGCAGAGTTCTGCCCCAGTTTAATGTGATAAAATGATCCTCACTGAGCGAGCTTTTTTTCCCTCCCGACTCCCAAACCTTTGAAATTTCCTGAAACAAGATCTGACCTGTAAAGATCCCATATACATGGAACTTCTGCCAACTCCCCTCAAATAATAGAAAAATTACAGAAATGCAACAATTTAACTTGCTGATACAGGTTTGATTTTAATCACTTGAAGCAGAAGAGTGCTTTGATCTCAGTTGCTAATGATGATGGACTAATCTTAAGAACAGAGGCCTTGAGTGGTGATTTGCATGGGCACAAAACAGATGTTTGCATTACCTCTGCCTGCTTTGTGGGTCTCTTAGTTGGTGTACACTTTCTGATACTACCTGCCTTATGACTCCCTGAAGTCTAATCCTGACCTTACTTTGTTGCCCATAAATACCTTTCAAATTGAATGCATCTTGCCTCTTCCTTAAGCTTTCTGTAGGAGTCTGTGTAGACTCGGATTCGCCCTAAGTTCAAATACACAGAAATCAGCTGTCTTGGGCTTGGCATCAGGTTAATTTCAGCACCATTTCCTTGTTCTGCTTTGGTTTTTTGCCTTAATTTCTGTACTGTGCTCAGATGTCGTGCTAATTCTTTGGTAAAGCTTGCAGCTAATAGAGCCACATGTTTATGGTGATAAAGAAAATGATGTGGCCGGGCGCAGTGGCTCACGCCTGTAATCCCAGCACTTTGGGAGGCCGAGGCGGGCGGATCACGAGGTCAGGAGATCGAGACCATCCTGGCTAACACGGTGAAACCCCGTCTCTACTAAAAATGCAAAAAATTAGCCGGGCGAGGTGGCGGGCGCCTGTAGTCCCGGCTACCCGGGAGGCTGAGGCAGGAGAATGGCGTGAACCCGGGAGGCGGAGCTTGCAGTGAGCCGAGATCGCGCCACTGCACTCCAGCCTGGGCGACTGAGCCAGACTGTCTCAAAAAAAAAAAAAAAAAAAAAAAAAAAAGAAAATGATGTAAGTCAACATCAGTCCTCCCAATGATGGGATATGATAGCGCACTGGTTATGAGAGTGATCACCGGGGAAGGAGTTGTGTCTTCGATAAATTAGTGTCTTCGGGTGATTTAACAGCTGCATAACTAATCCCAGAGGACCCCTTAGAGTTGATGTAATGCCTGTAGAAAAAGCAGTGCACAGCGATAGAGCACAGAAGAGTCGAAGCTCAAGAGAACAGGGAACATACTGGTCTGTTTGACCACTAAGTGTATATGCCAGCTCCTTGCACAGTTTTGCCAAAAAAAAAAAAAAATCTGTGCCCAATACATGTTAACTACTGTATTCCAGTACGTACTCCATAAATACTTGTTGAATGGGATTCTTGAAGAGTCAGCCAAAATAGGAGAGACGGCCGAGTGGCTTTAACTGATTGTAAGTGTTGCTGCCCCCAATTTCCCCATTCAGTGCTAGATACTGCCATACTTCATGGCAAGGACTGAGAACACCCAGCAGGACCGAAGGGCACACAAGCTCATTTTAACAATATAAACAATAGAATGACAGTGAGATGCGATTTGGCAAGGCCAGTATCACAGAAGCCATTCTGTATTTCGGTTTTTGGAGCAGCTGTGCAGGTAGGCTACCAGCTCCTTACTTCCACTAAGTGGATGTCTCCATTAATTTCCAGCGTGTCAATACTGCTGAGCTCTTTAAATCTGTGTTTGTACTCCAGGCTGTGGACGCCATTTACTGCAACCTTGAATTCTCTAACATCACAATAAATTATCATCTGAAAGGAAAGGAAACATGCCATTAGTGGTTCCCCTTAGTTTAAAATTTTGTGCTCGTTACACACTAACAGGGTGTCAGAATAAACCATTTGATTTATTTATACGTAGAAAAGTCCTAGCCTGCTGCTGCTGCCTGCCTTCTGTAACTTCCAAGACCCTAATCTAACTAAAGTGTCCCTGGTGGTGGCACTGTCTGCCTCATCACACCCAGGGAAGTGACCTGGACGTGTTTGGAGCTTCACACCATCCCCAGGGCCTGCGGCCTTCCTTTCCTCAACAGCCCCTCTCCCTGGGCCGCATCCTGCCCCTTGCTCCTGGAAAGCTGGAGTGCTGCCCCTCCTCGCTGATGCTGGGGACTCTCCTAAAGCAGGAAAACTCCTAATGTGGTCGCTCTAGTTCACTGAGATGCTGTTTCCAGCTAGTAGCCTGGAACCAAGGGACTTGGATCCTGTCTTTTCTGCCTCAAACGCTAGGATCGTGAACAAGCCAGACAACTAATACAAAATTTCAGCAGCTTAAGGCACTTGCTAGGGCTTTTACAGCTGCTTGGTGATCCTGATTCCATAAGCTCAGCACATCTTAGCCTCAGTGTGTTTGTCCAAAGCCATCAAAGCTGGGTATCCCATGAGTGCGAAGTGCTGTGCATTCCGGCAGATTCATTCACATTCATCAGCAGTGTCTGCCCTTCACAGTCATCTGTGCCCAAAACTCAATGAAAAACCAAAAAAACAACCAGCCTTTTACATCACCTTTACACTGCTGGCGCCACGCTGCCAATGCCAGGCTGGGTTTCCACACACTGAGAAGGCCTCTGGGAGGCCCTGCACTGAGCTCTCCCCTGTGCTCCTGGCCCCCTGTGAAGGCTTCAGAAGGAGGGGCAGCTCAGCCTTGCTGCCAACCCGGCCCCACCCCCAGAGGCCAGAATGAAGCACAAAACCTGAATCTGCAAAGCGGCAAGTTGAGGGTTTTCGTTCTTTTGACAGGAGCCGTGGAAAGGGCTGCCAAGGAAGATCAGGAAGGGGAGGAAGTTTCAGTTCAAGTCCTGCACTCTGATAACAGAGCTGGCCAATGAAGCTTCTGTGGCTACAGAGGATTGGGGAAATAGGTGTAACCTGAGATTCTATCCCCACAAGAATGGTGGAAATCCCAGTGCCAACCAGGTAGAAGGGACCCTGGATATATTTAACAAAATCTCAAGAAAACACAAAACACACAGCCTCATGCTATAGCTCAGAAGGAAAACCAAGTTGGCAGCAGAGGGAGTCAATTAGTCACCTGTACTGTATCAGAGCAAGTGCAAAGCCAGTGAATTACAAGCAAGTGGCAAAGAAATGACACGCCTCTGGGTGAGCAGACTACTGCAAATGAAAAGAAGGCACATCCTTTGCAAGACCCCCAGCCTATAAGAAAACAGAACAACAGAATCCCTCACAACCATCTGATGCTTCCGAACAGCTGGGAAGAACATAGATTCCATCCAGAGGAAGAGCCCACGGATGAAATTACAATACTGAATGAGATTGTTTTTAAAACACTGTAGATACAACTAAAGTGTGTTTAAAACAGCAAGAAGATTTAAAATGAAAGTAACGGCATAATGGAAAGACCTGAGATAATCTCAGTGCAAGCATAGTTAAAAGGCAAGAGATGGAAGCCCCTGGAAAGGACCTATCAGTACAGAAAATCGTCAACAGTGATCAACATGAGGATAATTACTGTTCCTGAATTAGAAAATTAAATGGAAAAGATGATTGTTCAAAAGCATACAACATCTATCTATTCATTCCTTCAGCCAGCCATGCTTTTCACTGTCTCTGCAAAAAAAATTGCCTGGAATATGGTTCATCTAATCCTAATGGTATGATTTGAATTATGAAGTTGGAGATATTTTCATCTTAGTATTTTTCAGCATTACTTGAATGTATCATTATTGTCCTTTTTTGTATTAATATAGTAAATCCAAACTTGGGGCCGAGATAGGTCCAAAACAAGTTACATCATTGGTTTCCTGTCACCCACCACAAGGCTCAACTTCCTTCTAGAGCACTCACCTCTGTTTCCCTCCAGTGAACCCCATTTACGCCTTGACTCTTGCCAAGCCAGCAACCCTGTGCTGCCCTTCCCACCTCTAAGGACTTGTTCAGATCAAGCCCTAAGTCTAGAAAAGCCAACCTTCAGCCTTCCACATCCTTCCCAGCTTTCTGAATTCCAAACCAATATCCACAACTTCCAGGGACCCCCTCCATGATTAGCCCACATCTGTCTACGCTCCACATACCAGGGCGCTGCATTAGACTGGAACTTAGGAACAAATACGCATGTCACATTGCCATCGATTCCGCCTGATACTCATGCTTTCACTAACGGGTTTTGATGAGTCCTCAAGAACCCACATGGTCCAGAGGATGTGGCAGTTTAAAATGCTGTAGAATTATAACCTAAACCAGTGACCCTAAGTGACTGTGTGAGGCAGTGGCACCTGAGCTGGTGAGTGAGGCTGGGCAACCACCCGGCATCCGCCAGGAGACGATTCTCTGCTCAGCATCCCAAAAACATATTTTGGGAAAGGTATGCGTTACAATAGTCACCTATTTGGGGACTCAGGACTACATGCCTTTTAGTTCCAAGGGACTGATGTATTTTTCCTTGAATACATACAAACAAGACTAACTCCTTAGGAGAAAGGACTGCCACCTGAAACCATCTACCCTGATGGGAGGTGATGGCCAGTGCAAGCAAGCAGTTTTAGGGTCTCCACGTCTTCATGTCCACTTCTGTGATTAAATGTGTGACTCCAGTCCTGAGACAAGCTTCCTGGTTACATTCCTATCAATACGGGGCTACACAGGAATTTTAATATGATGACAAATGCCAACTCCAGAGCACATAATTTGACACTCTACTGGCTTTGCTATTTATACTGATTGCCCACATTATAAAAAGGGGCAAATTACAATCTCCAAGTAAACAAAAAACATACACGACCTCCACATACTGAGTTAGGACTTGATTTAAATGGACCACTTATCCCACTCCTGCTCCCAGGATGCTTGGTGCTGTCCCATTTTCAAAAACTGTAACCTCACCTCAAAGTACATCCCAGGACTAAATGGGAAAGAGGTAATATTTCTCTCTTCTTCTCCCCAGGACTCCTGAAGAAAAGAATTTCTTATAAATGCTTTAATATTCAGGCGTGGGTTCAAGTGTAGAGCGATATCCTTTGATTTTCCTGCTAGTAGGTCAACATTAAAGCTTTTGAGAAAGGAAAAAAAAAAAAAACAACAACAAACCTTAATTAACCAAGTAGGACAGAGTAGTGGCAGTTTCAGCAATGTTAATGGCCAGGCTTGAACTATGACCCTAACTCTGTGAAACGTGTCCACATGGACATGGGAATGCAGATGAAGCTGAAACTTTAAACTTAGTCAGCATTCCACTAATTTGTTACATGTAAAATTAAATAAAAAACCCTTTAAAATGAGCATTGAGGCTGAGATGTGGCTGGACAGAAATTGAAAGTTTAACGCCAGTTAAACCAAATGACTACTTCAGGCCACAGGAGCCTGGGATCCTCTCAAGCAGGTATTCTCTTTTCATCATCTACCCGTGTGCCTTCCTTCTTGAAAAGTATGCCACTTTCTAGGAAATAGCTCTAATTTCAAGCTTTCAGAAGGCTGGACATCTCTGGAAAAAGTTGTTAAAGCAGAAATTTTCTAAATCACATGACAAGAGAGGCCCTAAAAAATGTTGCCTGGGCCGGGCGCGGTGGCTCACCCCTGTAATCCCAGCACTTTGGGAGGCCAAAGTGGGCGGATCACTTGAGGTCAGGCGTTCGAGATCAGCCTGGCCAACATGATGAAACCCTGTCTTTACTAAAAATACAAAAATTCAAAAATTAGCTGGGCGTGATGGTGCGCCTGTAATCCCAGCTACTCCAGAGGCTGAGGTAGGAGAATCGCTTGAACACCCAGGGGGCGGAGGTTGTGGTGTGCTGGGATTGCGACACCGCACTCCAGTCTGGATGACACAGTGAGGCTCGATCTCAGGAAAAAAAAAGGAAAAAACAATGTTGCCTGATCTTACGGGGCTGCCCTGGAGTTCTCCAAGGCAAGGGTAAGCCTCGTGGACAAAAATGCTACTCTTGTCTGGCCAGAAAAAGCTGACGTCAGAACACTGGGCTTTAGTCTTGGCTCTGCCACCAACTAGCTGTTAGCAATCTAACCTCCTGCTTGAATCATCTCACCTTGGAAATGAAGATTCTGACACTAGCCCTAATTCTAGCTCGTAAGACCGCTCACGGGTGGAAGGCGGTAACAGGCACGGAGGTATCTGCACTGTGACTGCTACCCAAGGATACTGACCTTTTGGCATTTGTATTCACTTCTCCTTTAACAACGACAGTTCGTCCAGGGCCCATGGGGGTGTTCAACCTTGCAGCAAATGGCAGGCTCTGAAACGAAGCCACAGTTAGGCCCAAGAGGTCTGCAGAAAGTGATCTCCAGAGAAAACTTGTGTCCAAAGAACACTAGAGAATGTTTCAGAGCCATGACCCTGTAAATCCCAGGAGGGGAGACAGTCTGCCTTGATCCCAGCTGGGTCCCCTGCAGCAGCACTGTCCCTGGCTCGAGGCAAACACTCACTGATTTATTTTAGACGATGAAATGAGTGACAGGGTGGGACCCGATGCCCTCTGTATGAGTGAAACACCCCAGGAAGGCCCCCTGTGCCTGGGGTCTGAGGCAGCACTGTGTTCTGCTTGCAGGGGAAGCAGCCAAGCTGGGAGGCGCTAAGGAAGTACACAGGCATGGCTCAGAGGCAGGCCTGGTTGACGCTCGAATCTGTCCAGGGACAGCACACAAATGCAGAGGGGGCGGCTTTGGGCTTCTACGGTGGATACAGGTTACTTATAACAGCTCATTACAACTTAATTTTTATATAGAGTTAAGAAAATTGGGGGCTCTTCAAACCTTTGACACATAGTTCATAGGTGGTATTTTGGTGCAAATCAAACTGTGATTGACAGTCGAATCTTTGCTCTTGGTGTAGACAGTTCTGGGTACGATTTTAGAAATGTCTCCTCTATTACTAGGCTGTAGGGAAACAGTTCTACAGTAAGGAATGGAATGAATGAAGCTGCCCTCCAAGGTTTAAACTGTTCATTTTCTGTGCAATCTTATAAAATATTCCACATGAAATAACCCAGGCAAAAATACTCACAAGCTGGGGCGTGCCAGACTTTGGAACCTATTGGAAAAGAAGCAAAACACAAGAACATGAGAAGGGGAAGAATTATAGTTTATAATATGAAGCCTTGGTTGTGCTGAGCTGAGCCTGGCCGGAGCCAGGCATGTTCCTGCTCCACTCTGGTGTGACCTCCAGGCAGCTGGTGCTTTATGATGGGATGGGATGGCGTTGTGAAGGGCTACACAGGTTGAAGACAGTCTGATATCCCTTTCATCTGAGTCCTTTATCCTCCACCATAAATTAATAATTTTTCATAGAACTATATGAAACTATTTTTAAGAGATAGGGTCTTACTCTGTCACCCACACTGGGGTGCAGTGGCTCAATCATGGCTCACTGCAGCCTCAACCTCCTGGGCTCAAGTCATCCTCCTACCTCAGCCTCCCAAAGCTGGGATCACTGCCATGCGCCACCATGCCTGGATAATTTAATTTTTTGCAGAGATGGGGTTCTCCCTATGTGGCCCAGGCTGATCTCAAACTCCTAGGCTCAAGCAGTCCTCCCACCTCAGCCTCCCAAAGTGCTGGGATTACAGGCCTGAGCCACCACATTTACCCAGGACTACATGAACTTCAAACGTGTCTTAGTTGTCCTTTCCAAGGTGCCCCCAGAATGCTGAGATTCTATTCTGTCTGTGAGTTGTGAACGTGCCAGTCAGTAAGACCTCACTTTCTCCATTAATAATGGCGTGTTTTTACATTGCAGTTATTCTCCCAGGGGTTGAAGATGCACATGGAAGTTCATTTGCCAGTGCACTGGCTGATGTTCAATATTCAGAAATACCCCAGAACAGTACTATTCAGCAGTTAAGAGTGAGAGAGTTCTTTTACATAAGAACAGTGAGTGGCAGTTACATAAACTGACAGGTGAAGCGTCAGCAAAAACTTATTGAGTGCCTGGCACCACAAGTATGTATCTCAATTTTCAAATGATTACTTGCGTTCTAAAAGCAGAATTTTCAAAAACCCAGCCTTCTTGCCACTTCTTTTATATGAGAGCTGAAACAACATTTTTGAACCAGTGGCTCATTAAAAGATTTAGTATTTACCTTTTCTCTACTTATCTCTGTCAGTTCCAGACCAGATGCTTGGGTACTCTGTAAATCCTGAGAAAATAAAGATTAATTTGTAACATCCAGTAGAAAATATTTTCTATATATAACCTGTTTGACATATCAAAAAATTATAAATGGTACTAAAAATATGCTTGAAAACTATGATCCAAAAATACACTTAACACTGGGGTCCTTTCCGGCCCCCATCACATTGGCAAACATTACACAGAATAAGAGGTAATGTCAACAAGAAGGTGGGAAGATGGCGGCTGAGAATGCAAATTGTTTTTATCCTTGTGAAGAAGGGTGAGTTAGTATCTATCAAAATGTTCAATGCAAATACAGTCACATGTTGCTTAACGAAGGGGGTACGTTCTTTTTTTTTTTTTAGACGGAGTCTGTCGCCCAGGCTGGAGTACAGTGGCATGATCTTGGCTCACTGCAAGCTCCGCCTCCTGGGTTCACGCCATTCTCCTGCCTCAGCCTCCTGAGTAGCTGGGACTACACGTGCCCGCCACCACGCCCGGCTAAATTTTTGTATTTTTCGTAGAGACGGGGTTTCACCATGTTAGCCAGGATGGTCTCGATCTCCTGACCTCGTGATCCGCCTGCCTCGGCCTCCCAAGTGCTGGGATTACAGGTGTGAGCCACTGTGCCTGGCCGAAGGGGGTACGTTCTGAGAAATGTGTCCTTAGGTGATTTTGGTCATCGTGCGAACATCACAGAATATTACTTAACAACCTTAGATGGTACTGCCTACTACACACCTAGGCTGCAGGGTGTGGCCTGTTGCTCCTGGACAGTGAATCTGTACAGCATGCACTGTACTGAATTCTGTAGGCAACCAGAGCGGGATGGTAAGTATTTGTGCATATAAACTTATCTAAACACAGAAAAGGTACAGTAAAAATACAGTATGACAAGCTTATGGGACCACTGTTGTATATGCGGTTCATCACTGAACTGTCCTTATGCAACACATGACTGTGCTCTTTGACTCAGACACTCCCAGCCTAGGAAACTCTCTTATGGAAATAGTCCATTTTACACCCATGCAAAGGCAATAGCCACTACCCAGCTAAAAACAATGTGTGTTTTGCTAAAACCACACGAGATTTGAGATCCTACAGACAATGAAGCGCTGGCTGATAAAAACCCTTCTGCTAGTGTGAATAGTTCACTTCCAAAACATTAATACTGCAATCAGGGAGAGCCATCCTTTTTATGTCAATAGAAGTGTTATTTGAAGACTTTTTCTACCATCTCATCAAAAACCATCCTCATAAAAGACCCCAAGCTGTGGCAGGTCACTCACCGAGCTGAATCTGAAACCAATGGAGTGAATATTCACTTTGCCATAAATGCCCAGAGTGTCTATTTTCTCTGTGCCGATCCTGTGGCCATAGAGCAGAGTATGTTTTCCATTTACAGCCACCTAGGAAGATACAGAAGACAACCCCCCCCAAAAAAAAAAAAGTTAATAAATTAACTTACTATCCAAATTTAAATGTTTCCTTGCATCCAATTTTATACCCTTTCCCACAGGTCTCCACACATATCTGACCACATTGTAACCGAAAGCACCCAAAACACTAGCAGTGCTTCCGAACTTCGAGTTCCTGATCTGATTAAGCACCAGGAACTGTCTCTCCCCAGACAAACACGCAGTCACAAATACAGGTGCGTGTGCTTGTGTGCGCCTCTGCATACCTATGAGACATCTGGGTTCAAAGGTCTCCTGGAAACCTAGGCACAGGTGCCCTGGAGGTTGTGAACCCAGGTTAAAGATCAAAATCTGTTAACTTTGCTAAATAAAACTAATATGGACAAGTTACTCAACATATTTAAGATTCGGTTTTCATATTCTGAAGTAGGAACAATCTCTACCTCAACAGACTATGGTAGCAAGATGACGAGAAAGTAGCTTCCGCAGGTCCTCAGCACTCTACGTTGCTCCTCCTCCCTCCCTCTCAAATGCCAGGTACCAGGTTAGGTTACAGGCAGAAAACACAAGCAGCATACGATACAGTCTCTGACTCAAGGAGCTTCAAATCCCATTGTGGGGGCAAAATAAACACATCAAGCCAAAGCACAACTGTTAAAAAATGGTTAAAAAGAATGATACAGACACGGCTGGAAAGGCCAGAGAAGGGAGAGGTGAATGGAGTTTGGGAGATTCAGAAAGATTTTTGGGTGGGAGCGGTATCCTGAAGATCAGAAAGGATCTGCGCCAGAGACATGCGGGTCTGCTCTCACACTGGTACAAACCTCTACTCTGGGAAAGCTCCACAGGCCGGAGGGCCAGCCGGTGTAAAAGCCTCTAGGACCAAATTCAACCGTACACATACGCGCTAGGTATAAGACACTCCATGAAGCCAGAGATAAGGGACATCAAGGATTTCTAGGATCTCCTCTGGATCTAAACTCTCGATCCTACAGAACTATCTTGTGGCAAGACTTGAATTTATAAAACCCTTCTGATTTCTATGCTAGGATTGCCCTTGTTAGCTCTTCGGGTGGTGGTGGTTATATTATAACTTACCCTCCCATCATTAACATAATACTGTGTCAATTCAGAACTCAGCCCTGCTAGGAGAAACAGGATCTAATAAAAAGATCTGGTCACAATGGACCATATTTCTGCACGGCAACAACTGGCTGGAGAGTAGTGATGCCACACCTCACATTTAGGTGCCTTCCTGGTCCTTTTATGGAGAAAAACTACAAAGCCAAACCAACCATGTCTCAGGTGTAGGAAATATAAGGCCGGGCTCACAGACGTGAAAAGCGCCCCTGTGCAGTCCCGCTCGCTCATGAGGACTCACCCTGGCCCTCTCCAAAACCTACCTGGAATTTGTCCTTCAGCACCATAATCACGATCTCAAAAGACTTCTCTCTTTTGAAAGGCGTGTCATAGGTGATCTCTTCCCGTCCCCATTTTTCTTTTATCAAAGTATTGCAAACAATGCAGCCGGCCCTTTTGAAACGAGGATTGAAATGAAAGGCCACATCGGCGCGAGGTTTCACGCTGCTGCCATACTGCAGATCCACCTGGAATCTATGAGGGAAGACACAGGGGCCCCATGAGCGCTCAGAAAGGAAAGCTCCCAGGAACGGCCCAGTAGGCACTACACTCCAGGCCCAGTGACCGGACTGACGGATCCCTCCTCGTTCATTCACTATGAGGCCAAAAGAGCTGGCTGCCTAATCTTCTTTTCTGTCTTCCTCAGTAACACAGCCCCTGAGTTTGAAATGGGTCTGAATCTGCCCAGAATAAAAACCTACCTTTCCCAGCCTTCCTTGCAGCTAGGCCTGCCTGTGCAGCTAAAGCTCTGCTGTTAAGATGGAAGTGAAGGGCTCAGGGAAGACTACTGGAAACTGCCTTCAAAGTCAGCAAGTACTTGCCTTTTGTCCATCTCTGCTTCCCCGCAAACACCATGTGCACCCATCCAGCTACCCAAAGCACAGAGGTGAGGGCTGGAAATCTAGCTGCCAAGGATAACGGGAAAAGGGACCTCACCTCACCCTCAAGATAGCAGAGTGGTGAGCTTGAAGGAGTCTACTTCTCTAACGACTTGAAGGAGTTGACTGAAAGGCCTGGGCTGTCTCCTTGAGACTTAATTTTCACATCTCACTTAAACCACTGCTCTTCAGGTGTTAGGTACACAGAGCCGAGCCCAACACTAACGATACCACAGCTTGCATCCAAAGCAAGTATTCAGTAAAACCATCTGAACTAGATCTTCTGTGATGCTGTGGGAATGTCAGACTGCAACTAGACTATCCCTGTCATCTGACCACAATTCCTTTCTTTAATGACATACCTAATTCTTTTATCTTTTTCTTTTTTTTTTTTTGTCACCCAGTCTGGAGTGCAGTGGCTTGATCACAGCTCACTGCAACCTCAAACTCCTGGGTTCAAGTGATCCTCCTACCTCAGCCCCCCGAGTAGCTGGAACTACAGGCACACACCACTATGCCCAGTTAATTTTTTTTTAATTTTTTTTTTTTTTTTTTTTTTTTTTTTACAGATGGGAGGGTCTCACTATGTTGCCCAGGCTGGTCTCGAACTCCTGGCCTCTAACAGTCCTCCCGCCTTGACCTCCCAAAGTGCTGGAAAAGCATGTGTAAGTCACCACATCCAGCTGATAGTTCTAATTTTTTATACTGAAATCAGACTTACAGCAATGAAATAAATCCCAATAACCTTTATTTAGTCATTCATTCCACGCTCCTCAGCACCTTGGCCAGGGATGCTGACGAAAGCAAATTAGGCCTCAAAGTATCAAATGGTCTCTCCCACATTACTCTTTGTTATCGTTCCACAATCACAAAAAGACAGCTTATTCATGCTCCTTCCTTCAGCACAATGATTTTACCTGTCTGCATCACTAGGAACATGCCCACGTATTACAATCAAAGTTCCAGGATCCAACTGATCAGGAATGGTGCCAACATACGGGATTACCTAAGAAAAAAAATTTTAACAAATGTACGTTTACATAAACAACATTACTTTCTAAGCAATTACAATCCAAACTCATTATTGATAGAGAAAAACTACATTTTTTAAGGCTGCACATAAATCTGCTTAGAATCCAGCATTTTCCAAGTCATCTTTCCTATTCAAACAGCTATAAAAAGGAACCGCATGGCCAGGATATTTGCAATAGCTGCAAACCACTATGTCTCCTTGGAAAGAGACACAAGATATGAAATATTATTCACAGTAGTTTGTATTTGGCTGAGAGTTTGTGAAGCAAAACTTCTGCTTAATATGATAATTATAATAGAAAAAAAAAAAAAAAACAGTTGTTGCAATGCCATGTCTACTCATTCCTTTTCCCACTGTTCCACTGCTGATCCCAACAGAAAGTTCAAGGCCACACTAGGCCCAAAAGCCAATGCTGATGGAGACGATGACAAGCACTCACTGCCTCTGAAGGAAGCTCCAAGTTAAGCCACACCCCCACACCTGGGATGCCAGGGCCTGCTCTTCTCTGTTGGACTCCCAGACTGCAACCCAGACTGCAACCCAGACTGCAACCCAGACTGCACTGTGAGAAACCAGAGAACTGCATGACCATGAGGATGAGTGGGGGCCTGTGGGTCTTCAAGACACGGCATCCACCTGCCTTGCACCAGTCCAGTCTGCAGGCGTGGGCTCTTACAGTTGGCCCCACCCAGTATTCAGGTCTCAACCTGCACCGTCACTGCCCAGAACCCAGCCCTTTTCTTCTGGGACCTGCCACACTACCAGATCCTGTCATTCCCCTTCCCCAGAGATGACTACACTGTCCTCCCAGTCCACTGGCTGGGGACCTGTGCTGTGTGGCTGCCTCTCCTGCATCACAGCCATCTGCCTCCATCTGGAGCATCTGACCAGGATGTGCAGCCCACACACCGTTACGCCTCACACCAAGCTCACCCAAATGATGATGTGCATGGTAAAACCTACCCAAGGTACTTCTGATTGTCAAGAAATAAGAAATAAAATAAGACGGGCCACAGAAAAGTGATTATCAATTGGTGGCTCCTAAACTGAAATTGACTTCAGGCACAGCCTCCTCTGTGGAGCCCTCTTCAAGCTCCCTCGGTGACCGAGTCAGCCCCTCTCAGAGGCTTCATGATAGCACTTTGGATTCTGTTTGTTTGCATGTCGGTTTGCCTAGACTGTGAGCTGCAGGGGACAGGACTGGCTCATCACCTTTACCTCCCCAGGAGAGAGGTCAAGAGACGATCGGTAATTGCATGGTGAATGAACAAACTCTCACCTGTCTGAAAAGTGGGCTCTGGCAGGCCTCATACCTATAGAGGAGAGGCAACAAAGCAGCTGCTGAACTGCAAGCTGAGCCCACAAGCTCCCTGTTGCCTTACGCAATAAGATGGGAAATTATGGAAGCCAGTTATCTATTTGCTGTCATAGCAATTGCTAGGAGTAGGGTGGAAGGCCCATGACATCAGAGAGCAAAAAATACAACAGAGAGTGTACACTGGGGCTACAGCTGCACATCAGGGTAGCTGATTTTGTGTGTAGAGAATGGGGAAGGACCTACATCCCTACCTTGATCTTTTGGGTCACAGCTGGTTCCAAAAATATATAGCAGCATGTTTCACAGCATTAATCTCTTAATAAAACGAGAGGTTTTTATAACTTCAAATTTCATGTTAAAATTATATTTATGCAAAATATTTAATAACACAAATTTTAGTAATTGAGAAAGTAATCTATAAAGGCATATATAGTATGATTTCAACTAAATAAATACAAGCATTAAAAAGAAAACCTTGCTAATTAATCACATCGTATCCTGTATCAAAATATCCCATATACCCCATAAATAGATATACCTACTACATACTCAAAAAAATTCAAAATTAAAAAAAGAAAAACACTAAAGAAGTCAGCAAAAATGATAACAATAGTTTTCATGGGGGAGGATGGGATTTTAATTTTTTTCTTTATATACTTTCTTACTTTGCAGATGTCTATAAGAAGCATCAGTGAGCTGAGATCCGGCCACTGCACTCCAGCCTGGGCGACAGAGCCAGACTCCGTCTCAAAAAAAAAAAAAAAAAAAAAAAAAAAAAAAGAAGCATCGATATTTTTATATCACAAAAATATTTTTAATTATATGTTTAATTTTAGAGCTGGAAAGAGCTTTTTGAGACAAAACAATCTATTCCCATCACTTTTTGTTTTTTTTTTTAAGACAGAGTCTCTGTCCCCCAGGCTAGAGTGCAGTGGCATGATCTCAGCTCACTGCAACCTCCACCTCCCGGGTTCAAGCCATTCTCCTGCCTCAGCCTTCCAAGCAGCTGGGATGCCCAGCTAATTTTTTGTATTTTTAATAGAGATGGGGTTTTGCCATGTTGGCTGGGCTGGTCTCGAACTCCTGGGCTCAAAGTGATTCTCCCAAAGTGCTGGGGTTGCTTTGGGAGGTAATGAGCTTCTGGGTGCAAGGCTCTCTATTAAGCAGACTGCAGCTAGAAAGAAGCGTAAGAGTCAGACACCCAGGAAACACAATTAGAGCGAAAATGTGATACTCTGTTTGGCTGCTGAAAATTGGTATCCCCTTCCATATCTGGAAAATCCCCTACCTTATGAACATTAGACCTCATCTAGACTGCAACAAGGTAAGAGCAGGGGACAAAACTGCCAATTAGAATTTCCAGCTCAGATTTTAAATAAGAACCAGTGACAAGAAGCAGCCACAATGATGCAGTATTCACTCTGGCAAGGGGGCAGCAGCTGTATTTGGGGTTAGAGAAAGTTACACCCGGGGTCAGAGGCAGCTAAATCCAGAGTCAGAGGGAGCTACACCCGGGGTCAGAGGCAGCTACATCCAGGGTCAGAGGGAGCTACATCCAGGGTCAGAGGGAGCTACATCCAGGGTCAGAGGCAGCTACATCCGGGGTCAGAGGCAGCTACATCCGGGGTCAGAGGCAGCTACATCCGGGGTCAGAGGCAGCTACATCGGGGTCAAAGGCAGCTACATCCAGGGTCAGAGGGGGCTACATCTAGGGCCAGAGGGAGCTACATCCAGGGTCAGAGGGAGCTATATCTGGGGCCAGAGGGAGCTACATCCAGGGTCAGAGGGGGCTACATCTGGGGTCAGAGACAGCAGTGGCATTGGTAAAGTAGCAGAGACACAGTACCATCTGTGTCCAGTGGTGACAACAGATGCCTCTTCATGGGAACGGTCCTATAGCATGCTTGTATATCTGTGGCTACCTATTCTCCCAGCCGCACTATCACTTAGCAAATTCCTTTTCTGCTTAAAGAGTTGGCTTCTGTTGCTTGTAACTGACCAATTCAACATCTTCAAAAAAAAATGGGGTCCAGGCATGGTGGCTCACACCTGTAATCCCAGCATTTTGGGAGGTGGCGGATCACTTGAGGTTGGGAGTTGAAGACCAGCCTGACCAACATGGAGAAACCCCGTCTCTACTAAAAATACAAAATTAGCTGGGCGTGGTGGACCATGACTGTAATCCCAGCTACTCAGGAGACTGAGGCAGGAGAATCACTTGAACGCGGGAGACAGAGGCTGCAGTGAACTGAGATCAGGCCATCGCACTCCAACCTGGGCAACAAGAGCAAAACTCTGCCTCAAAAAAAAAAAAAAGAGGGGGTTTAGAGTAACAACCAATTCTGTTTCATTTCTAAATAATTTCTTAACCAGCTAGCATTTAATCATACCTTAAGAACTCTATAAACAACAAGAAAAATAAAATATATAGGTAGATAATGAACTGCCAAACTAGAAATTTCACTGACAGCATTCCTGGTATGAAGTAAAGATACTGTCTTCCAAATTATTCATTCAAATTGAATAAAAGAAAAGGAAGCAGCCGGGCACAGTAGCTCACACCTCTAATCCTAGCACTTTGGGAGGCCAAGGCGGGCGGACTGCCTGAGCTCAGGAGTTCGAGACCAGCCTGGGCAACATGGTGAAACCCTGTCTTTACTAAAATACAAAATAAAAATTAGCTGGGCGTGGCGGTGTGCACCTGTAGTCCCAGCTACTCGGGAGGCTGAGGCAGGAGAATTGCTAGAACCCAAGAGGCGGAGGTGGCAGTGAGATGAGATCGTACCACTGCACTCCAGCCTGGGCAACAGAGCAAGCCTCCATCTCTTAAAAAAATAAATACATAAAAGAAAAGGAAAAAAAAAACAGAAAAGGAAGCCTGCCTGCCTGCCTTCCTTCCTCCCACCCTCCCTCCCTCCCTCCTTCCTTCCCTCCCCTCTTCCTCCTCTTTCTTTCTTTCCTTTCTTTCCTTTCTCTCTCTCTCTCTCTCTTCTCTCTTCTCTCTCTCTTTCTTTCTGATGAAGTATCGCTCTGTTGCCCAGGCTGCAGTGCACTTGTATAATCTTGACTCACTGCAACCTCCACCTCCCAGGTTCAAGCAATTCTCCTGCCTCAACCTCCCATGTAGCTGGGATTACAGGCCCCCGCCACCATGCCTGGCTAGTTTTTGTATTTTTAGTAGAGACGGGGTTTCACTATGTTAGTCAGGCTGGTCTCGAACTCCTGACCTCAAGTGATCCTCCCACCTCGGCTTCCCAAAGTGCTGGGATTACAGGCGTGAGTCACCGCGCCCGGCCTCTGAGTTTTTATTTTCATTTTTGAGCTTGGTTCTTGCTCTGTCACCCAGACTGGAGCACAGAGTCCACACTCACTGCTCACTGCAGCCTCAACCTCCTGGGCTCAAGCAATCCTCCCACCTCAGCCTTCCTCGTAGCTGGGACTACAGACGTGCACCACAATGGCAGCTAATTTTTGTATTTTTATAGAGAGACAAGGTCTCACTATGTTGCTCAAACTGGTCTTGAACTCCTGGGCTCAAGTGATCCACTAGCCTTGGCCTCCCACAGTACTGGAATTACAGGCGTGAGCCTCTGGACCCAGCCTTAGAGCCTGACTAAGTCTTGGAATTCTATCAGTTGAACTAGTCAAAGAAATATACTAAATAGGGAAAAAAATACATAGGCCAGTCACAATATTTACTTCATCTTTTCCAAGAAAACTTAATGTGGACAGTTGGTCTAATACCAATGCGGACCAAAATATTAGAAATAGGCCAGGCATGGTGGCTCACGCCTGTAATACCAACACTTTGGGAGGCCAAGGCGGGAGGAGTGCTTGACCAGACTGAGAAACATGGCAAAACTCTGTCTCTATCGAAAAAAAATACAAAAATTAGCCAGGCATGGTGGTGCATGCCTGCAGTCCCAGCTATTTGTGAGGCTGAGCCCAGGAGGTGGAGGTTGCAGTGGGGTAAGATTGCACCACTCCACTCCAGCCTGGGTGACACAGCGAGCCTCTGTCTTAAAAAAAAAAAAAAAAAAAAAAATTGGAAACATTAATGAAATAAAAATTAAAAAGCGGCGATGTGTTTATAATGCCTAATAAAGAATACTGACACTCAATAAATATTTACTCATTAAACCTATCAGTAACAAAATAACCATGATTCAAGAAAACAGGTTTTGTGTGTATGTGTGTGTTTTGTTTGTTTGTTTGTTTGGAGATGGAGTCTCGCTCTGTCACCCAGGCTGGAGTGCAGTGGCACCATCTTGGCTCACTGCAACCTCTGCCTCCCAGGTTCAAGCAATTCTCCTGCCTCAGCCTCCCGACTAGCTGGGACTACAGGAGGCCACCACCACGCCTCGCTAATTTTTGTATTTTTTAGTAGAGATACAAAAAATAATTTTGTATTTTTTATTTTCACCATTTTGGCCAGGCTGATCTTGAACTCCTGACCTCGTGATCCACCTGCCTCAGCCTCCCAAAGTGTTGGGATTACAGGTGTGAGCCACCGCGCCTGGCTGAAAACAGTTTTCCTAAGTCTAGCTTATAAAATATACTAATTGATTAAATAACTAAGTTGGCCAGGCACGGTGCCTCACGCCTGTAATCCCAGCACTTTTGGAGGCCAAGATGGGCAGATCACCTGAGGTCAGAAGTTTGATACCAGCCTGGCCAACATGGTGAAACCCTGTATCTACTAAAAACACAAAAATTATCTGGGCATGGTAGCACGTGCCTATAGTCCCAGCTACTCAGGAGGCTCAGGCACTAGAATTGCTTTAACCCGGGAAGCAGAAATTGCAGTGAACCGAGATTCCGTTATTTCACTCCAGCCTGGGCGACTAGAGGGAAACTATGTCTCAAAAAAAAAAATTTTTTTAATTAATTGAATAAATAAAATAAGTTATTTACAGCTTTTTTTTTTTTTTTTTTTGAACATTGAAAGGGCAACTAGCTACAAATGAAAGAAATTCAGTGCAATACGGGCCCTTAATACTATAAATATTTTACGGTAGTGAAATTTAAAGACAGAGCAAAATGTTTTTGCCATTCAGTTCAGTCTTTCTACCTCTAACCTTTCCTACTCTTTTGTGAGAACTGATAATAAAATAGAGAAATTTAAAAAGAAAGAAAAAAAAGCTATTTGCCAAAAATATCTCCCTTGGAAACGCATTATCCTCAGAACAGCATCCAGGCCATGCCACAGGAGCGAAGGCATTTTCTGCCCTGGAGCAGAACTTGACTTCTCCAGATCCCCTTCCTCAGGAAATGAAGTCTACTTATTTTTGTTCCACCTCAATAGTTGAGAGTACTGACCCCAGAAACTACAGGAATCATCAGTATGAGAGAATCAAGATATGCAGGTATTGTATCTATGAAAGTATCTTCTTTTCTGTGTGAAGGGCAGAATTGAACAGTGTAATCTTCATCCATTCTCCCAGCTTGAGCCAAAATGAAACTTCAGATACCCCCGGCAGGCAGCCTAGTGTGTTGTTGTTTTTTAAAGATCTTTGCAGGAAATCAGTTTACAACCTTGAGATGTTTTTCACTCTAACATGCACAAAGTCATCTTAGATGCCTCACTAGCTTCCATTTCAGGAAGTCATCTTTTTTCAACTTACTACCACTGAACGGCTATTTCCCCTAAACCTGACTGCTGGATACAGCAGTGATACCTCATTCTTACACAATGACATTCAAACTTAGGGAAAAAGGAATTACAGCTACAAAGTAAATGACAAAAACTTGAACCCACACACACTAACAAAACTGGTTCAGGGCCTTATTTCAAGGATTCTCACCCTTCCTTTTGCCCAAGAATCTTCTAGGGGGTTTACTTAAAAAGTGGCTGTCCTTTCCCAGACCTCAATTCAGGATTCAGCTTCAAATAAGTGGAAACTAGACATTCCTAAAGATTCTCACCACCACATAAAACTAAAACAAGCTCTTTACTGCTTGGGATTACAGGGCAATTTCCAGCAATTACAGTCATTCAGGGGTTCTAGGACCAGCCTGAACTGCACGAGACCCTTTACTACTTCTCACTCTCCGTCTCCCCATTGGCTTTTGACATTTTCCCTGCTCAAGTGCCAAGCAGTATTTGAAAGGCTGAGGGAAAGATCGAGACATTAACTTCTCATGGACAGCTCTAATTAAAAAAGAAAATGAAAAACTTGTAGAGTAAGAAATCCATTTGCCTTTAAAAACTACAATTTATGATTAGCTGAGCCTCCTCCCGTGACCAAAAGTTGGCATTCCCTCCACTCTACCCAAACGTTCCCTGTTCATTACACTGTTTCATCACGTCATATTGCCATTGTGACTTCTTCCTCCACCAGAGGACAACAGCTGTTTTGTAGTCAGCGCCCACCACCATCCCTATTACATAGTAGGTGCTTTAAATATGCTCACTGGCTTTTATTTTTGCCCTGTCTCCCAATGGATAATTAATATTCTATTGGATCTGCTCTCAATCCTGGCATAGGTAAAACGTTATTTTCTAGAACTCAGTTACCGGGTTATAGATGATATTCTGTAGGTTGTTTAATGACAACATCATTCTTTTCCAGCTTCTTGTTGGAGTCTCTTCTCTGTATGACCTGAGATTTTAGGCCAGTTTCATTTAAAGGTTACCTGGATTGAAACTGAGGCACTGGCCCTGTGTAAAGTAAAAACAGAGGAAAAGAAAAGTAAGCATGTAGCATTTTTCTTCATATCCTATTTTAAAATTTAAATTATATATTATGTTACTGATATTTACCAAATAATAGAATGTTATTACAATCAAAGATCTGCCTCCCATTCTTACCAGTGTGCTCATATACTAAACAATTTTGGATTGTGAGTGTAGGAAATACTGACTTAAAAAATACATCAGTAGAAAATTTCTAACATGGAATTTATTATTAAAAATACTAAAATAGGCCAGGCATGGTGGCTCACGCCTGTAATCCCAGCACTTTGGGAGGCCAAGGCGGGTGGATCACCTGAGGTCAGGAGTTCGAGACCAGCCTGAACAATATGGTGAAATCCCATCTCTACTAAAAATACAAAAATTAGCCAGATGTGGTGGCATGCACCTGCAGTCCCAGCTACTCAGAAGGCTGAGACAGGAGAATTGCTTGAACCCGGGAGGTGGAGGTTGAAGTGAGTCAAGATCGTGCCACTGCACTCCAGCCTGGGCAACAGAACAAGACTCCATCTCAAAAAAACATACTAATTAATTAATGGCAATTACTAATCAAACAGTCCTGTACAATTATCAGAGGTATTCATTTCACTTTTCATTTCCATAAAAGGACAATAATTACAGTATTCACATCATTGGTTTGTTCTGAGGATTGAGTTAATAAAATAGTGAAAGAGTAAGTGCTATGTTAGCTATTATTATTGTGAATAAAAAGAATTGCTCTTCTTCCTCCAATTTAAACAAATCAAAGTGTGGAAATCCAATAATTTTAATACTATTAAGATACAATTTTCTCTGCTGCTTTAAAAAAAAAAAATCACAGGGCAGGGGAGTGTTGGAAAGCATCAGCCACATTTTTAAAGATAAAAGCACCCATGGACACTACATTTAATAACTCTACGAAAAACTCGATGACTTTAAGCAGAACTAAAGGGGAAACGAAACTAGAGCTTCCTATATTTTACTTCCAGCAATTGTCATTATACGGCACACCAACAATACACACCGATCAAATCTATTACTTTTTCTTTATTAAGAAAAAAACTGTATCCCTCTTGGTTTACCACCTAAATATAAGCCCAGAAAATGTCATTAACTTAATTCGTTAGTCAAAACCTCAAAACTCTGGCTCCGTGACTCAACACAGGAAGCAAGAACAAGAGCAAAAAGAATGGATGCCGAGTTGCCATACACATGTGTGATAACCAGCGAGTGACCCAATTTAAATCATCGGCTTGCATTAAATCACGCAACCCCCGAAGTATTCCCAGGGACAGGTCCCACCAGCATGACCACTTCGTATGCATCACAAGAAGCCCTCACTTAAATTTCACGTACGGTCAAAGGAAGTCACATGACTTGCCCTTTGTAATGTTTAATACTGCAGTCAAATGACTCGGCATCCTAAAGAGCGTGTTAGACACAGGGAAAGCAATGTCACTACAAATTCCGGGACGGAAGCTTCCCCAGATTCCTCCACTTGGAGGTGGCTCTAGGCCTCAGGTTAGGAGGGAACAGGGTAGAAAGCAGCACAGGTAGGGTGCATTTGCAGCGAGGAGACACCCCAGGGCAAACAGCCTGACTCCAGCCAGGGATGTACAAGAAAGGCCGCGACTCCTGATAATCCCTTATGCCCCGGAGCAGCCTCGCCTGCAGAGGCAGCGTCCCCGCCACCCAGCCCCGGCTCTGCCGCAGTGAGGACCTGCGGGTTGGGGTGGACTGGACACTGTCCCACCCATCAAACTGTGATTTAGGAGCCGTGACATCCGAATGCCATCCTCCACTGGCGAGACCCTCAGAGCAGCCACGCCCCTAGCGACTGTCCCGGTGGCTGCGGGTCGCGCTACTCACCCAAGGACTGGTGTTTCAGGCGCTCCACGGAGCAGGTTGTTTGTCAGCCGCTAGGTGCCGTCCGGTTCCCGGCTCGGGCGTCCGTGGGCGGCTACGGGAAGCGACAGGAGTCAGTCCTCGTTCACTTCCCGGCTCTCCCGCTGTGGTCTCCCCACCCTCCCAGTGCCGCGCCTTCTGTGTATGGAGCGTCCCCGGCGGCTCTGCTGGATTTTGGACAGGGACCCGTGGCTGATCGCCACCCAGCTCGGCCTCCTGCACAGCCTCTGGGGCCTTGGACCGCGACCGGCTTGCTGTGGGAGAGCACAGAGGATAAGGACAAAGAATGTGTCCTGGGTGGATCTGGCTGCCTTTGCCCCGAAGGCGGAGTGGGGTGGAAGGTGGTAGGAAAATGGGAAGGAAAGAAGAGAAAGGCTTTCTCTTCCGCAGCAAGTGGGCCGACGTCCACTTGGCTGTTCCAGGCCTCCAGGTCTAGGAGGGCGCTCAGGGCTGGGACTTTCCGGGACCAGGGTGATCACCGCACAGGCCCCGCCTGCCTGGACCCAGCGCTGGCCTTCCCGGGGAGCCCAGGTCCACGGGGTCAATGCCAGGGTCGGAGTCCAGACAATGTCAGAAGAGACCTGAAGGCGCTTTTTGACGGTACACACCTCTGGATGTAGGTGAAACTGGGGGAAGGGTTCAGTACCCTGGACTGTGCCCAGCCCAAAGCGCCCCATCCGTTAGTGATAACATGGACTCGCAGCCACTCCGCGTCACTCGCTAGTTAACCCTGCGCGTGGGCTTTTTCTCCAAATTGGACACTTAGGGAACAGTTTAAGCAGTATGGAGCACAATTCTGTGCGTATTAAATGCTCCGTAAATACCCAACTTCTCAGGGCTCTACACTGATAGTTTGACCTATTGGCTGTAAACACACCAGCCAGAAATATAAATGAAGTTTGAAACAAAGTCATGTCAGCCACTTGGAATGGCTTGCTGCTTATTGTTTGTTTTGTGTTAGGGACCTCAAAGTTCTCATCTTCTCTACTTGACTTTTATCCACATTTGTTTGGAAAGATATATTTTAGTGTCACCAACATTGGCTTTCTCCTCCTTGGCTTTTGTTTTCATTATTTTTTATTTTAATTGAGGAATTCATTACAAGTCCCATAACTGGGAACTCATGTTCTGATTCACTGTTGCTTTTCTCTCCTCCTTACCCATTTTCCAAGTTTGAGACACTTCTCAAGATCCAATTTGAATAAGTGAATTTACCCTTGACATACACTGCCTTGGATTTATAGTTATCTTCTGGTGTGTGTCGTGTGTTTTATCTGTCCAACTCAACTGTAGTTTGAGAAAATGAACTTGTCTTATACATTCCCCAGTGCATAGTGTAATGCTTTGCATAAAATAGATATCAATGTTAGGTTGAAGTGTTAGATTATTGATAAAGTCAGGAGCAACTGAATATCTTCACAATTCTGCCTGAGTCTCCCCCGCCCCCACCCTCTTTGAGACAGGGTTTCCCTCAAGTGATCCTCCCACCTCAGCCTCAGGAGTAGCTGGGACTACAGACGCACACCACTATGCCCAGCTAATTAAAAAAATTTTTTTTGTAGAGACGGGGTCCACTATATTGCCCAGGCTGGTCACAAACTCCTGGGCTCATAGTATCTTCCTGCCTTGGCCTCCCACAATGCTGAAATTACAGGCATGAGTCACCAAGCTGGGCCCTGAGTCTACCTAGTACTTCTCCTTTACAAAGCTATAATAAGTTGAAATAAGTACACATAAATGCTGTGTTTCTTTCGTAAGTCATATTTAGGTACAAATGGGGCTGAGTAAAAGGGCCAGAGAGTTAACAAAGAAAATCTGGATTAAAATGTTCATAAATCCTAAGAACTTATTCCTAGAAATAGCTCCCTCATTTGGCACTGTTGTTCAACTAGCCCAGTGTGTTATTTTAAATAAGCAAATATTCACTGAATGCCTATCATGGCCAGGCACAGCAGTAAAGAGTACTAGCACGCAAAGGACCTCATGGGCCCTTCTAGATAGAGTCCCACATCTCTTCCATTATTACTGCAGTACCCAAATTGGTCTCCCTATTTTTGCCCTTGCCCCTCTGCAATTTAGTCTCAACACAGCAGCCAGAGAAATCATGATAAAACATAATTGAGATCATGTTAATCCCTTACTAAAAACTACTTTTTTTTTTTTTGAGACAGTCTCAGTCTGTCACCCAGGTTGGAGTGGAGTACAGTGTTGCCATCTCAGCTCACTGCAGCCTCCGCCTCCCACGTTCAAGTGATTCATGTGCTTTAGCCTCCTGAGTAGCTGGGACTACAGGTGTGCGCCACCATGCCCAGCTAAGTTTTGTATTTTTAGTAGGGATGAGGTTTCACCATGTTGCCCAGGCTCGTCTCGAACTCCTGACCTCAAGTGATCTGCCCGCCTCGGCCTCCTGTAACCTGGGATTGCAGGTGTGAACCACCGCTTCCGGCCAATAGTCTACTAATTTTTGCTCATTCTTTAAGTAAAGATCCAGTTATTACAGAAATACTTCATGATCTGCCCCAATCCTCATACACTGTGACTTTATCTCCTACTACTTGCCTTCTCGCTTTTTCGGCAGCAGCCACATCGACTTTGCTATTCTCCTAGCAGGCCTGTCACACTCCCATCCTAAAATCTTTACTCAATATTTCCTTTTCCCTTTTCAAGTCTACTCAGATGTCAGTTTTCAGTGGGGCCCTTCCTGACCACCAATATTTAAAATTGCAAACACTGTCCCAAAACACACTCACACACACTCCCTATCAACTCTTCCTTGCTTTATTTCTGGCTAACATTTGTCATGCTAATATACTATATAAGGTACCTTTTTATTTTATGTTACTTCACCCATCATAAGACTATAAACTCCATGAGGGCAGGGCGTTTTGATTGTTCTTGTTTCAAGGAAGCTTACACTCTAGTTCAGGACACATATAGTGATGTGTTTTAGAGAAGATTAAATTGGGAGCACCTGAGTGGCAACCTTAGTTGGATGACAAGGAAATTCTCTCAGAGGAGGCAAAGTTTAAGCAGCTGGTGAGTGAAAGAAAGGAAACAGCCATATGAAGATGGTGTGGAAGAGCATTCCCGCCTTAGTGACCAGCTACTGCAAAGTCCCTGAGGGTCTTGAGAATGCATTAAATGTGTTCAGGAAACAAAGGCCACCAACCAGCATGTCTGAAGCATGAGGGGAGAATGATAGGATGTCATGGGATTGGATGGCGCCACCTAGGAGAGGGAGAAAATCACCTCGGACATCCCTGAGGAGATAAGACAATGTCAATAAATGAGACTGAGAAGGAACAACCAGGGGAATTTGCTGAAAGTGGCGTCACAGACGCCAAAGAAAGAGGAATAGCCTGTTGTGCCAAGTGTGCTGAGAGGCCAAGAAAGACGGAAGTGAGCAATGGGCTTAGGAACGTGAAGTTATGGCTGACAGTGACTCTGAAATGGGTTGAGAAATGGGAGGTAAAGAACTGATGGAAACCGTGACCATGAAGATTTTGAAAATGTTTGCTGTGAGGAGGAACGGAGAAGCAGCATTATAGCTGAGGAAGCAGTGGAGCAAAGGGGAGACTCAGGTTTTCTCGTGTTGTTTTTGTTTTGAAAAAGAAGATACTACACTGGCAACTTTTAGACTTCTTTTTCAAGTGACCTGCCATAAGAATGACATTTCCATTGAGACTTACTACATACATACTTAAAATTATGAAAACAAAAATTTTGGCCGGGCTCACTCCTGTAATCCCAGCACTTTGGGAGGCCGAGGCAGGTGGATCACTTGAGGTCAGGAGTTTGAGACCAGCCTGGCCAACACGGCGAAACCCTTTTTCTACTAAAAATACAAAAATTAGCTGGGCCTTGTGGCGCATGCCTGTACCTTCAGCTACTCGGGAGGCTGAGGCATGAGAATCGCTTGAACTCCGGAGGCGGAGGTTGCAGTGAGCTGAGATTGCACCACTGGCACTCCAGCCTGGGCAAGAGAGTGAAACTGTGTCTTGGAAAAAAAAAAAAAAAAAAAAAAAAAAAATTCGTACAAAACAATACTCCTGTTATGTGTAAAGCAATCTACTTTTTTCATGTAAAAAAAATGCTACTTATAGCCCACTAAAATGTTTGCAAGCCCCACTAACGGGCTGTGACCTGAAGTTTGAAGAACACTGGGTGGTATGTTGGTGTTAGCTCATACTGGTTGGTGACAGCCAATTTTGCACATAACTTCCATGTTGATACCTTGAAGTTATCCAGGGCAACTGCTATAACTTAGGATCTTTTTCCCCTAAAGAACAAGATCTTAAACATTTACCAGCACGCTACTGACTTTACTCATGTGAATGATCTGTGGAGAGGAGAAACTGATCATGCAGGAGAGGGGATGGTGTTCCCAATAAAAGTTGTGAAAACCAGCTTCAGAACAAGAGTAGATGTTGCAAATTATTTGCCACAACTGCCTGAGAGTTATACAATAAAAGGATCACTTCAGGTAGGATCATTTCTTTTTCATCTATATTGTCCTCTTTCCTTACCCAAGAAGCCACATTTATATGGTATAATACAGCCATACATTTAGAAATAGTCTTTTTTTTTTTTTTTTTGAGACATAGTCTCACTCTATTACCTAGGCTGGAGTGTTGTAGTACAATAGTGGCTCACTGCAGCCGTGACCTCCTGGGCTCAAGTGATCCTCCCACCTCAGCCTTCCAAGTAGCTGGGACTACAAGTGCACACCACCATGCCTGACTAATTATTATTATTATTATTATTATTATTATTATTATTTGGTAGTGATGGGGTCCCACTATGTTGCCCAGGCTGGTCTTGAACTCCTGGGCTGAAGCAATCCTCCCGCCTCAGCCTCCTAAAGTGCTAGGATTACAGGCATGAGCCACTATACCCAGGCAAAATTAAGTCTTATAAGCACAATGTTAAATTATATCTATTTATATATAGC